TACTTGGAATACAAATGTTGAAATTCTCCCCTGGCTCAATACGGACGGGAAACTGAATCCATTTCATTTTTTAGCTGAGCATCCACAGTCCACACTATAATTATTACGGTATCCCCACTTCAATGAACCAGAAACAGTGTTCTGGTTGGGAAAAGCGATCCTGAAGCACATTCATCATCAACATGGCAGTAAGTATTGGGTGCCGGTACCTGTCCATGTACTGGTATTGCCAGTACGCCTGGGCGTATACCGTAAAGTACCGTTGATCCCCCCCCCCCCCCCCACGCCATGTCGCTTCCCAGCTGGGTTTTCGGCAGGGGGTGGGAATTAGATCAAGGCTGTCAAGTGCAGTACGACGTACATTTGCATTTGTTTTTTCTGATCTTCTCTTTCTCATTTCTGTTGCATTCTCATATGCTCACATAAGTCTATCATTCATAGTATACCCCCTTGGCCCGCACAGTCCATGTCGATTCCGAGACTGAAATGGTCAGAGGAGTGCACTGCGCCTGACCAGCACAGCTCTTGTAGCACCTACTACTCCTTTGTTGTCTTTGTCTCTTTTATTACCCCTATTACTTTGTAGGGATGTGCACATAGTACTGTATATAAAAAATAATTCAACATTCACTCCACACAACAACAGATCACGGTTGGTATTTTTTGGAGGGGTTTCATGTGCCCGAAATTTATTAATCATTCGAATCAAATTTTGGAACATCTGAGAGCAAAGAGATACTGTTCCAAGGCAATGATCAGGGAACAAGAGAATAGTGATAAGGTGAGAAACATTTTGAAGTCGTGGGCCGCGGTCACCCTGGGCAACCCGGTGCCCGGCCACCTCTGGGGGCATTTTGCGATGACAACCCGGTGTCATGTGTTTGCCCGAAGCTGCGGGCAGGCGATTGACCGCCAACCCCACATGCCTCCATGTGTACGAGTAGTACTTGTACAGTGGGAGTGGAGGGAGGGGAAAACAAATTGTTGGTCAGCAATGACACACTCAGTTGCAGCACTTTCGCCGGAAACGGAACCTTGCATTCGTTGTCACACTAACTTGATTTTTTTCTATTTCTTTTTCTAATTATTGTTATTTTTGCGGGTTCATTTACTGGTTGCCATGGCGCCTTTGGCTTGTTGGTTTCGTGAATGTTAACTACGGTTTGCAATGTGCAAACCTCCATTAAAAAAACACAGCGTGGAAGTTCAGACTGTGCACATTTTCATCCTGCACTGGCACGTACGTGTATTGTGTACAGCAGTGTACGCGTCGGTTCAACATCGTATTTCGCTGTATACGCCGAAGTCGCTTCACAGGCAGAAAATCGACAGGGGCCTTGGGGGCGGATCAACGGTACTATACTTTACCCTTCATGGGCATGGGCGCTATTTTGGAACAAAAGTGTTGACTTTCCCTGACTGGGCTTGTACTCGGAGGGTGGACGTAATTTCGAGTGGGCGTACATAGGGGCTTTTACGGTATTATCGCGCGGAACCCAGTCCCGAATGAGGATAATTGCAATGTAACATTTTGCGAGTTCTGAAATGCACTCTTTTGCTACTACAGCCAGACCTCGCTTATCCGGAAGAAAATCGTTGGTAGCCGATTTACACACAGGTTTCAAGTACAACATAACCGGGCCTCAGGTTCCGCATACCGGTGCATGGTTTTGTGTACAAACGTGCATACGTCCAAAAACCGTTGTCATACCTTGGAGCTCAGGGAGCTGGCGGTGGTTGAAAGCCGGATCTAAACCAGTTGTAACTTGTGGTTTACAGTCGACTACTGTAAGACATGTTATTATAACGAGTCGCAAATTTAACGATTGTCCAAAATTCATAGGTTAACGAGAAGATATGTTAACGATCTTGCAGTATTCTGCCATATCCACACACAGCATATATGAAGCAGTACGGCCTCAACGGATCTTATTATAACGAAGAAATGTCATCCGTTAAAACGTTAGATTTGCTTCCTCGTTATATATACATGTCTTACAGTAGTCCATTTCAAAAATACAGACGCTCTGGGTTTTTGAAATATTTCAAATTTGGCTGGAGCTTTTTGAGAATTTTTTTCGGAATATTGCTCAGGATACGCCTCACAATTAGGGTGCGTTCTTAAATTCTCTAGCTTCTAGGAGAAGAAGAAAAGAGAAGTCGAAGAAACTGGGATTCTTCAAGAACGGGTCTCGAATTCGGAGATATTTTGCAGATGTCAAGCAAAATGAAGCGCCAAAGGGGCCGCGATCTTGAGTGCCACGAATATACTTTGCGCTGTGCGTATGCGAAAAGGGAAATGCGTACACTCATGATCAACACGTGGCTTTTAGCCTAGTTCGCATGCGCTGATCCCAAACTGCGGGAATCTCCAAGTTTCAACCACCTCTGAAGCTTGGAGAGCTTTGGAGAGCCTCCTAAAATTCGGAGAGGATATAAGAACAGCTCTCGAACTTTTCGGAGAGTCTCCAACTTTTCCGAGAGGATTTAAGAACGCACCCTTACTCTCATATAGATTTATAAGCGATTGGATAGCAAACACCCAATTTAGAATTTCTTATGCGCAAAGGGATCACAGAATTTTATGTGGTATAGGTGCTGGCCTAATGGTTTTTGCCCGTAAAAGAGGCTGTTCATCGTTGTCATACCTTGAACTTCACTGCTGTTGACACAGAGTTTGGTATTCAGGTAAGTAGCTCCTTGTAGCAGAAACTCACTACTGTAATATCCGGTCCCCTCAGAATAATGCAGATAAAGTCCTAAAAGTCTACGCATAATGCGGGCGAAAACAGGCAAGGAATATGCAAGTATACAAGTAACAGTTACTTTGTCGTTCAAACTCATGGACCGGCATCAAAGTGCATGTACATACATGCACGCCAAACACAGTACAGACAGTGTGTACAGCCTGCCAATGTTGCACATAACATAATATATGAACTTCGAAGTAGCGTTACGTGGCAGTGCATTTTATGTGGCACTACCGTTTTGTCATACCTAATACTAGTAATGACAATATCCATCAAATGACTGAGAGGAGGGCATGTGATGTCATCCGAGTTACCAAAAGAATAGGTTTTGACATTCATTTCACCACTAATTTTTATGGACTCTTGCTGGCATGACTTTGTAGTACATTTTTCTTGCACTGTCCCATGAATCTCGCAGTTTTTTTTTAAATCTCTCCAAAACGCGGAAAAAGGGGGACAGAATATCAGGCCTCCTAAGTATAACTGTTCTTCACAATGGAATGATGCATTGCATGCAATCAAAATTAACGATATGAATCTTGGGTCTTCGACAGTTCAAATACAGTAGAGTCGTGCACCCAAGAACGTTGTTTCCAAGGGGCTAGCCTGGGACGTTCTTATTTTTTTTAGCAATCTGGCTGCGTTCTTATAATACGTTCTTAGAAACAATCCGTACTGAATCATAATGTACCCCACAGGATTCCAGAAAACCAACGTTCTCCAGCGCGCGACTCTACTGTACACTCACAGCACAGACCCCGAACACATGTACGTTGCATACATATTTTCAAAATAACCCAATGGGATACAGCACTTACATAGAACTACAAATTACACCCACATTCTTCGGCAAGCATCCTACCACATTAGTAAGAGACGTGCCAGAACACAAATTACACCCACCCAAAATATTTACAAGATTAAAGCACTGCCCGAACAGAACACAAATTACACCCACCCAAAATATTTATAACAAGATTACAGCACTGCCCCAACAGAACACAAATTACACCCACCCAAAGCATTAACAACAAGATTACAGCACTGCCCCAACAGACTGCAATAGACCTAAGTTGCAAGGAGAAGACATCACGCCAAAGAAGACATGGAACAAATTAGAGGCAACCACACTGACTAAAAAGCATAAGAGGAGAAACACACTGGTGCATTAAAAACGCATAGCAGTTAAGCAAGAGAAGAGTGGGAGAGTAAAGTCAAATAAGTCCAAATGGTAGAATAGGGACAGCAAGAACAAAGAGAACCAGAGAAAACTTCGAATACACATAAACGAGTACATGTAACACGATAGCTGGATATATTTTGAGCAGGAAACATTCCACAAAAGATCAAACAAATGCGGCACAAAAGGAGAAAGTGAAGATTAAAAAAAAAACATGCAGGGAATACAGTATCTGATGCAAATTATAGCGTGTGGCAACTCCTTGCAACTTCAGCACTATACCAGTGGTCACAAAGCAGTACATCAGCAACGGCACATAAAAACCCAAAGGTAAACACAAGGTTTACAACTTTCCCTCAAGTTATGAATAAATATTCAAGGAAGAGAATACAGAATTCCGACAAAGGAACAGCCGCTCGTCTAATCCCATTATGATACACCTAGAGCTTCTTACTGAATAGTTCACAATCGCGTCCGTTACTCAACAGCACAATCAGACTAGACCGAAAAAGTTAAGTTGAACCTCCGTCGCCAAACTCCCTGAACGAAAAACATATAGGCTTAACAACTAGAATGGATCGGTATATCCGCTACCAATATTCTTCAAAATTAAACTTTTCGATCGGTGTAAAAAAACAAATATGAACGGCCCCTTACAATCTGCCCGACTGTACAAGACACATTGTAAACTAAACTCTATCCATATCAACACTATTCACTAACTACCCGATGATACAATACACATCGCAAACTATCAAAGCCGACAGTTTGTCTTGAGAAGCTACACACTAATCTGGATTGGCTATATTTTTTGAAAAAATCACCTGCAACTTTTTAACCCCATAAAATTAAATACCACACCATTATATTTTTTAACTTCTGCATATCTCATAGCAAACATGAATATTCGTGTGCAACATCTATGCTCTTGGGTACTTCTTTACATAACGCCAATTCACTGGACAGATAAACATGGCCCAAATACCCCAAACGTTCGCATGCAAATTCTTACAAATACACTCACTCTGCCATCATCCGACATCACCTCTTCAGCAAACTTGGAGTTTGTAAAAAACACTTTATTGCTTATTTCCCCTTCTTGGAACGAAGCTTTCGCTGGTAGAACTCGAGCTCTCTACCCTCCAGGATGTATCCATCTGCACGACCACTCTGGCCAGGCCTGGATGAAATGCAAGCGAGAACACGTCCAGTGTGCAGTTGCTCCTCAACATGGGGATCAATCTTGGCCAAGTCCTTGCGCTCCTTAAAACGCCTGAGCTCATTCTTGGACTTAGGCTTCTCCTCCTCGGTCTCAGCAGCCTTGTTCTTACGCTTCTTCACAAGGGAAATTCCATAATATCCCTCGTACCACTGCCTGAATGGAGCAGCATCGATTGTCACAATGCAGTTCTTCACAATAGTCTTTGTTCGGACAAGCTCATTGTTGCTGGCGTTGTACACGACATCCAGAACACGGGTCTTGCGGCTCTGGTTCTCGGAACCCCATGAAAAGTTACCAGTGTCCAAACGAAGAGCACGGGATTTGGAGTTTCCTCCACGGGTTCGCACACTGTGAATGCGTTTGGCTCCAAGCTTGGTGTTGGCTGCAGGGCGTCCAAGCTCAAACTTTCTCTTCTTGCGAAGAGGAGCCCGCTTGCCACCGGTCTTACGGCGTTTGTGGAGAGAATCACGGCTGATACCCATGATTGTAGCTCAACAGGCACAAACCTGTGATGGCAGCTACAGCCTATGTTGAAGGAAAAAAGGACGACTTTTGCGCAAGCGCACTCTTATGACCAATGGAGAAAATAGGGGCAAGGAGAAAACACTGGGTAGCTATGGATACTCCAGTGCCTAGACTTGCAAAGTGAGTTTGGGGGGCTCCTAAACCGATGCATCATTCGCGATTATTCGAGTTGAACCCGATTTAGCCAGGTTTGTGTTGTAAATCGCTTGCGTTTAGACTAAGAAATCGGTGGGACGAAGATGACGACGTCAACTTTTCCGGCTGGTCTAAAATATTTTTAGCAAAAGTGGAAAAAATGTTTTGCAAGTGACTAAAAAATTTGATTTGTTGTGTGCATCTCATGTTCAGGCAATGGATGATCTAGCCCTCTTTGGTATTCGACTTTAGCACTGTGTACGTATATTGTTTAGTAATTTACTCATTTTGTCACCGACACACATAACCAGCAAGATGCCGGCGGCCGGTAAGGGAGGTAAAATGATGAATCTCATCAATTATCGGATGAGAATTACACTACAGGATAGTCGTGTATTCATTGGCACATTTCTGGCCTTCGACAAGCATATGAATTTGGTACTAGGCGATTGTGAGGAATTCCGGAGAATAAAGCCTAAGAATCAGAAGCAACCTGAACGTGAGGAGAAAAGGACGCTTGGATTGGTGCTATTGCGCGGTGAGCAGTTAGTGTCCATGACTATTGAAGCACCACCTGCTGAAAAGGATAAGAGGCAGGCTGCTGCGTCTAGTTCTCAGCCTGGACCTGGCGTTGGACGTGCAGCCGGTCGTGGAGTTGGCATTGCAGCACCAACAGCACTAGGAGCTCCCAGAATGGCTGCACCAGCTGGTTTAGCTGGTCCGACAAGAGGACTCGGCGGTCAACCGATTGCTGGTCCCCCAAGCGGCCCGCCTGCTCGTCCTCCGGCAGGTGCTCCACCACCAGGCATGATGATGCCACCAATGGGTAGAGGAATGGCAGGACCGCCCCCAGGCGGCCCAGGTGGACCTCCAACTCGGCCTCCAGGCGGTCATCCTGGTGGACCTCCACCTGGTATGATGATGCCACCAATGGGTCGTGGTGGTCCACCGCCAAGAGGTCCAATGCCTCCATTCTAACTGTGAGTAATTTTGAATTGGAAAGCACAGACGGATCAGGATCGGCAGCGCTGTTGTGACCCTGCTCTGCTTTGAACGAAGATATCCAGAACACTTTTTTAAGTTTTTTTATACCTTTTGGTTGACTGTACTCCATACATGTTCAGTGTATAATGTTATGTGATCATCATAATACAAGGAATCTCAAGGTGTCAATTGTCCACATTCCCTCTTCAGAGTGTTCACATTGTGTGTGGTGCCACTTTGTCCCAATAGCCAACCCAGCACAGAGAGAGAGAGAGAGAGAGAGAGAGAGAGAGAGAGAGAGAGAGAGAGAGAGAGAGAGAGAGACTGAATGAGTGAATGAATGAATGAGTCAGTGGCAGGAGGCTGAGGTGGAAGTCTTCTATTGTAGCTGTGCAGTTGTACTTAGACTGGCTTAGTTCTGACCTGATAAGTACATGTACACACCTACTGTTATGTTTCCTTGGCTCTGACTTACCTGAGCCGTGACTGGCTTGACTGAGTTGAGGTCAATCAGCTCGGGGAGTCGGCAAAGACAACTCTGCATGAATGCCATTCAGCCTATTGCAGTGCGACCTGATTGGGTGTACATGTACTAGTGCTGTTACATGCGTTTACCGGCATGGCGATACTGAGACCCATTGATCAGTGGAGTGCCTGTAGGCTGTACGCTCACCAGCACGGCTACTGTCTGTGACTGTGGCGACCACCATTCAATGTCTTGTCCTCCCCAAATTGTACCCCCAACTCCCTCGCAGTCTCTCTCCCTCTCCGTCTCTCTCTCTCTCTCTCTCTCTCTCTCTCTCTCTCTCTCTCTCTCTCTCTCTCTCTCTCTCTCTCTCTCTCTCTCTCTCTCTCTCTAACTCTCTCTCTCTATTATTTCTTATTATTTCTGCTTTTCATCTCATTACAAAAATTCTGCGCTTTTTTCTCCATCTGCGCATAAAATCTAGACTGACAACCTGCTTGTTTTAAATCATGCACCTGCTTTCAGGCGTAAAAACCCTGTTGTAGAGGTCTCAGTCCTCATTTGTTAGACTTACCTGTCTTTATAAATGTAACTTACTCTCTCTCTCTCTTTCTCTCTCTCTCTCTCTCTCTCTCTCTCTCTCTCTCTCTCTCTCTCTCTCTCGTGTGCCAAAATTCAAGAGTGCCCACGTTCCATAGAACCACTCCCCAGGCCAGGGCCGTAGCGCCCGGTACTTCTTTTTAACACACTGCCAAAAGAGCCCAGAATGCAGGATTTTGCACCCTAATTTCAAAAATTTCCCGGGGGACACCTCTGGCCGAACCACATCCAACGGCGGTGTTAAGCGCCTCCAGGACTGAGGTGCATGGTGAACCTTCCAGGCTTCCTTGTTTATGTCATCATAGGATAACCTGCCACATTGTAGTGTGCAATTCTGTCCTCAGACATTATATATCACTTATCAGGGGCGCAACAGAGAGAGAGAACAAACATACAGTACTGTATACTGGCCAAAGAAATCTAACCTCATTCATGAACAACAATTACATAGCGGGTGCAGGTGCACCCCAATACCAAGAGTTCATAACCCCCTGACTGATCAGGAGTTGGACACTCTTGCCAAGACTGCAAGAGTCTTGACTCTTGGGCCCTGGGGGTTATGAACTCTTACCGGTACATGCCCCCGGCCCCCGCGCGGTACGCGTGAAGGTTCAGCAAAAATAATGTTGCAATATTTTTCCTCTTTGCGAGAACGCGGGAAATATGAAAATGCATTTTTGCTTCCAGCAAAGCGAAGCACATGTACATGTCACGTCGTGCAGCAGGATTTTTGCCCTGAGTGCTCTGGTACATGTACATGCTTGGCCATATCGACTTCATTTTTTAGAAGTCCACATAATATGCACACCTCCTAGAACTTGAACTGTTGAAGTGCCTGGCTCAGGCGGAGGAAATAACCTTGTGCAGTAAACTAATAATGGATGGCCGAAAAGGACTACCGGTAGTGCAGAGCAAGTCAGGTAACACTTCCTCCAAAGTCCTGTCTCCCTACCAAAGTCCCAGCATTCGGTCGACGGGACCACCTAGGAAGTACCCAGGAGTAACGCCTGTCAAACGGTTAGGAACTTTCCCATGTTTCCACTCACAGTGCATTGCACTGTACAGAATGTTTAGAATGTACTAATATACTGTATACCCTTTTCTTCATAAGACTTGGTTTGGATTGAGGGAGTTGAAAACGGGAAAAGCCAAGTATCTTTTCCGTTATTATGTTTTATAGTACTGTATGCACCATGTACTAGTTGAGAGCTTTGAGTTTCTGATGCTACCAAACAAGCCATTAGCATTCCACCTCGTAACAGAGCAACCATGATTAAGCTGGGAGTGCCGATACGAGCAACTGGTTTGGTTATAGTACTGAAGCAAGCGCATGATGACTCCGCTTGGAGCCGCTCGGTGGCTTGTAGCCGAGCCGCCAAATGCTAAATATAGGTATGCCGATAACCAGTTGAGACTCGAGAGCATTATCTTCTCATGAACTATAAGAATACAAGTTTGCACCAGAAACACGAGTTGAGGTACCGGTAGTGGGTGGGAGGGTGGGAAAAGGAAATTGTGTAGGAACAAATGCTGTGTACGTTGCAAGCTCAAAAGTCAAAACTGCAATGACAAAGCAAGAGACATCATTGCACGAGATCTTGAAGGGTGCATACCCGCGTGACTCGCGCATCGTCGCAAGTCGGGCCAGCTCGCTGGGGCTGGCCGATAGCTTGCACTTTCATCCTGACGCTCATTACTAGCATGCTGACGCTCATTATTTATGTAGACAAGAAGTACAGATGGAACGAAAAGACGTACATGATAGTATCTCTCTCTTTCCTATTTCTGCTGTATGAGCAGGCTGTGTTGGACTAGTAGTCTGTGGCGAGCAGTCGCCAAGCAGTGTGGTGCTCTCACTTGTTTGTTTGTGCTGTATCTGAGCTGTAAACACTACACTCCATGGCGAGAGAGAGAGAGAGAGAGAGAGAGAGAGAGAGAGAGAGAGAGAGAGAGAGAGAGAGAGAGAGAGGGAGGGAGGGAGAGAGAGAGGGAGGGAGAGAGAGAGGGAGGGAGAGAGAATTGTCTAGTACATGTACATGTAAATCAACTCAGTCATAGTCGGTGCTCTATACTAACAGCTTCTTCTTCTAGTTGTTGTTAGTGTAGACCTGCAAAACAAGCAGGCCTGCTTCTGTGATGCAGCTTGTGTAAGGGAGAGATTGAGTTATATAGCTGGGCTCTTCTTCAGTTTCATCTCTCAGTTGGCCGCCGTGGTGAAGCTGAATCAAGCAATCTTTGTTCAGAGCCATTGTGTTTTACTGGTAGTTGGGGTGTCTGCGGTAGTTAGTTGAGCTGGCTCGGCCCGCGCTCGTGTTTTAGATTTCCATTACGGCTCGCCGCCCGCACAGGACAAGGTGTGAGGTGTTACTGGTGCTGATCTCATTTTTTTGCGGATGCACTGGAGTGTAGTTACGTGCATGATTTGGTACGAGCTGAATCGAAATGTGGATACCTTATCAGTGCAGTGTCCAATGGTGGAAACAATGTATAATAACAACGATGAAAGCGGGAGGAAAGAGAACAATAAAGATTCGAACATGTTTTCGTGCAATACTCGTTTATTTCTTTTAAAATCGTTTCTGTTGCATCTTGTGTATCCTGATAGGAAACTTGAATAGTTTGCAGGCAACCTGCCTACACTCAAGAGACCTGATAGAAAACTCAAGAAAATACATTTTGTATTTTGTACGGTGACAATTATATGATTGATTATAAATATTCAAAGTGATCAGTCAAGGCAGTGAACTACCTGAAAAACGAAACAAGGCCTGAGTCCTGGTGGGTTGGCATTATTTTCTCGCTTTTCATGCAGTTCACTTTGGATTTGAAGTTCTCCCAATACTTTTCGATTGTAAATAGGTTGATATACTAGTAATAACGTGTGAATGGCTAGCAGTTTAGTTGCCAAGTACACAGAAAGCTGCATGTACCGCTTTGCAAGGTACGCCGGGCGAGGAAAGCGAGATTCATTGGCAGCCCACCGAGTGAGAGGATCGCTAGCTCTACTGACGGTAGGTAGTATAGGTAGGTGAGCCCCTCTGCTTCCACTGGCACTGATCCCTCTTTAGTTGCCTTTTCCTCATCGAGCAGGTCACCGAGGAAACAATTCGGCTTACAGGTGGCTGTGACCAGCTTGGCTCAGGTAGGGTGACAGGTGAAGGGTCTACACTAGCTTGTTGAATCAGCAGGTCCTTCAGCGCATCTTGCTCATTTTCCGGTAGGACTTTCAAGTCCGTGAATCTTGGATCAAAGACAGCAGTCAAGACAGCATCACTTGGCGTGTCCAGTGGAGAGAGGCCAAACCGAGCTGTGATATTAGCCACGATACGTCTGCAGACATTGTCAACTGGCGGGTCAACGTCATCCTCCTCACGCCGCAAGCACTTTATTCTGAGGCCATTGAGGAGAGGGAAAGGCTAGGAAATGGTTGAATACAACTCGCCGCCTAGTGTAGTGGTGACTCGATCAACGGAATTCAGAAAGTCGAGCAGCTGCTCCGCTGTGGACCACTGGCCAGGAGTCAAGCCGAGGGCTAGTCTGTCAGACTCTTTGTCCGGCATGTCAGCCAACAGTAACTGAACGGGCACCTTCAGCTCCAGTAGGCGGTCGAGCATGTAGTAGACGGAATTCCATCTGGCCGGGCAGTCTTGCACCAGGTGCTTGATAACGCTGGCACCAGCTGCCTTCTGCTTTTGTTCCAGCAGGTCTGTTTTGAGCGTGGAATGCTTGAAATGTCCAATAAGATGACGAGCCCCGGGGAAAAGGTTTGACAGTGACTTCTTGTCCAGCGAGTCTTTCCTTCGTGCCCCTTTGAGTGTGACCTAAGCTTCACACATGCAACAGTACACTTACTCTTTACACTAGACACTTTCTCTCTTGAACTAGATGCATTGATGTTGAAAACGGATGTCCTTCAGGATGGGGTGACGTGCATTACCAATTTGAGGGGGCTGCTATCAAGATGTGTCGGATGAAGATTATTATGGCATGGTCAATTCTCTCTGCCTTGTTTGAAACATAATGTTCTTCTGTCTTTGTTTTTTCTTTGTTTGCTGGTACATGTACTTGTCCATGGCAGGTACCTTGGTCCGCCTCGGAGTAGCTTCAAATCTCCTGTAAGTGGGCTGCCTGTGAAAAAGTGCTAAACACTGATATTTTTTCCAATAACTGTTCGCATTAATGTCAATGAAGCGACACCTGCCCATATACATATACATGGTGTATGTATCTGCTCCTGAAATCCCATCATGCTCAGTTATCAGGTTGAACATATGATTGTGACATGTGATTGTGCTGATAAATTTCTTTGGCTCCGAGATCAGCTGGGGTTCTGGTGATTTCCGTACACGAATGTACCAGCAGTGAATTTGCCTTCACTCTGCACGCCTCGGTTCCGTATTGCTAGGCATGCACAGCCCCGACACAGCTGTATCACTGAGGTTGGGTTTCATTTGTCACCACTGTACGCACAAATCATCATCTACGCATTTGCAGAGTGCACATCCATGTCTAGGTATCGATTTTTTTCACCGAGAAGATGGACATTGCCCCCCTCCCCAAAGAATCATGTTGTTATTTGCGCGGTAGACTGTATATGGAAGTACTAATAGCCTATCCTTGTACACTCCTCACTAGTCTACCCTCGTAAACTGGTCTTCTTGTTTTAAGTTTAACGAGGACTGTGCATCTATGTTTCCCTCGTGCCTGGCCAGGGACAAGCAGATATGCTGCTAGCGATAGGTCCTCCCTCCTACGATACTCAAATTGGGTATGGGGAAATGAATTTGCCCTGTAGCCGGTCTGGGGCCGTACCACCCCTGACACACCACAACATGCATGCACGTACCGCACCCAGCTACGAGCATAAACGCACATGCTCTCTCTCTCTCTCTCTCTCTCTCTCTCTCTCTCCTTTCCCTACTCTTCATCGTGCACTTGTGTTTTTTGGTTTTTTGTTTTCTATCAGGTCTTGGCAACAAGCAGGACTTCCGCCAGTGGTGATGCAGCATCGGCCACTGTTAACGTGGAAGACAAAGTCAGGAAACTCAAGGCGGAGTGTGCCGAAGCCCGGGACGAAGTCGCTAAACTGGAACAGACGTACGTACAACTGGGCTAACACTGGGAGTTGTTAAAAAAAGAAACTACAATGCAGTCTACTGTACACTGTCTGCACGGCCATGATGGAGCACTCCGAGCAGTGCTCTGCAGTCTCTTTGGACCAAGACCATTCTATTCTGTGACCCCAAAGTTACATCTCAGGGGCGGATCCAGGAGGGGTTCCAGGGGTTCCGCGGAACCCCCCAAATTTCGTAAATGTACTTCGAAGTACTACTGGCAACCATACTCGCGTACATGTACATGTAGATCTACATGTATCCGACTGAGCTGCTAGCATTCAGTTTTGAGTCTTTTGACTATACTGGAACCCCCCTCTAGAGATCGCTGGATCCGCCGCTGCATCTTCTGACAATTTAATTGCCCCACACAGTGAAACTGTCCACGTACAGTGCGTATCGGTTATAGTGTGGTCGTATACAAGAATATACTGCCTACAAGAATGAACACTCATTTTTCATAATCATAACACATATTTTATGTGTATATTTATTCTTACAAGCAGTATTATCGCATAGTAGAATATATCGGCCCTAAGAATGGATTTTATGCAGCAAAATATGCCAGATTAGTGCAAAGTGTATCGCCTGTAGTAATAACATCTGTGCTCTGTGCATACTCAATACAATAATAGTCAACACAAAAAGAGAGTTATGTCCAAGGGAGCATTGGAGAATCACTTTTTCTGTCCAGTCGGACTCTTTCTTCCGACTTCTCTCGCATCTGCTGCTCCGCAGTCTAGTCGCCTAGCACGACCGGTCGACCGCGAGTCTGATCCGTGTGTACGTGTCCACATGCCAAACGTGCGCTCATGCGCATATGATTATGTCACACGTGCATATGATAATTATGTCACACGTGATTTATCGTGTGTAAGAAATATCGGCAATAAGAATCAAATGTCGTTTTTCAAACACCCACGCTATAACCGATACCTACTGTACATGGTCAGGACAGGACAGGTATGGATTGGGGACCCATGATTCAATCATGGTTCCCCAAATCCATGTTGTTAAAAGTGCTTCCCTGCTCTTTGGCCCCTCTGAACATGAAACCCCCGTACTGTGACGGAGTGTGAGCCCCTAGTACAACCTGCCTACTCCTAGTTTATTTACTGCTACTTCAAAGTATGTGGTGATATGGCCGTTTTGTTTTTCTTGTGTTGACACCCGTCTCGTTGTGTTGTTTCTAGGTATAATGTTGAGGAGCTCCAGGTCTATATTGATCTACTTCATGAGTACAACGAGGTCAAGGACACGACACAGATGGTGCTGGGTAGGCTAGGTAAGCTGCAACTGCCATGTGATAATAACCTCAGGGATAGGGGGAGGGTATCCTCTGTAATTTTTTATATTTGGTGAAATCATGTGCGTGTGCGCGTGTGTGCGCGCGTGTGTATGTGTGTGCATGTGTGTGCCTTCGTGTGCATGTGTATTTCTCCAGTCCACTGGCTGGCTCAGTCTTGCATGCACATGTACATTGTAGCCTTCCTTGAATCCAACAGACTCACAGCATCTTGTTCTTCTGTCGAGCCATGATACCGTAATGCTTATTGTATTGTATGTTGTGCGTCTGCTGCTGTTATCCAGCTGAGATACGGGGAACAACTGTCAGACAACTGCATGACGCGTACGGCTTGAGACCGGGTGACTGATTAGGTATTAGCACACTCCGCCAGGAAGGCTGCAGAGTATTCTCATACCATACGTTCGCACAACAGCAGGTGATATGGGTCGTACATCCTTTCTCCTCCGAGCGTCTCTCGTCTTCTGCTCATCACCAGCACAAGCTGAAGTATCCACAACGGTGCCTGTCCGGGAGTACTGATGTTGCACAGCCGCCGTGTGCTGCATGCAGGTGCACTGTAAACCGATGGCTCTTGTCCGACACGGTTCATGGCAGCAGCAGAACAGCAGTTTGCTGCGGAGGACCCGCTGCACACAGCGCCGGGTGGTACCGCTCTGCCATCCAACTGTGTGATGCCGTACACATGTATTAGTGAGCTCACAGCCAATGACAACAACTATGTACAGCACACGTCTCTACCATTCAACGTGGCGCTACTCTCCACCCTGGTTCCCAAACAGAAGAAGGGAGACCACAGTCACAGTGCAGCATTTCAGCTGGCACTGAGGAGCGTCACTACACAGCGCGGTGATTGCGACACATTCATAGTAACATGATGCACTCCATGGCTCATTCTACTACGTGTTGGTTAACAGTAACACCAAACATCCTGTCAAAATGTATATATAGTTCATGAACAGTTTTGCTCACACGAAGAACATCCTCAATACGATATCCTATTCACAATAAAATATTTGTTGCAGAAATTTTAGGAAAAAAGACTTCTACACGTGTTTGCATCTATAAAAACATACATCTTCTCAACACCACCCTTGAAAGTATTATTGTGTGGATGTCTCACTGTATTCTACTATTGAGTTCAATGGGCTGATTTATTTTGCAGACTGCATGAATAGAGACATAATCATTGTTCCATCCATTATTTTGCTGTATCCATTGCTGAAAAATAGCTGGTAAAGTTGGAGATTGTTAATACGAAAAGTATGTTCTGATTTTGATAGCAAATTTCTTTTCGTATAAAGAAGTGAAGGGAATGAGAGAACATCAGATTTCCAATGGTTTGTCAACAGGTTTCCGATAATGGCGCAGTTGAGCTCCCTTGGGCTGCTCGGCGAACGCACCCTGGGAGGAGTATGGGATAGGCACAAGGCTGCCCTGGGTTTGTTCGGTGACTGCTGGCACGTAGGCATTCTTCCGCTCCGGTGCTGTCGTGTGCACTCCACTGGCAAGCACGCGTACCTGCACATGAACCACCGGTGTGGGTTCCAGAATGTGTACGCATGCACGCACACACACGCACACACACACACACAAGTGCACATAATACAGTCAGTTGGGTACACAATTTCGCCATGTTCTGCTGTATATGCGAGTAGTCCCCACAGGAAATTGTGATCTCACGGCCGCGACAAAATCCGCGAAATGTGATGATTTCACAGAATTGCCGGGAATTTTGAGTTTTGCACTTTGGATCGGATTTCACGGAGCGCAACTGTACCTTGCTGAGCTATCGAAATGCCCGTGCTGACTGTAGTGATGATCAAACAATGCACTTTCTAACACTGGTGGTATCGCAGCCAAGGTAATAGTGTACAGTTGTCAACTTGTGTGACCTATTTGTTAGGCCACACGTTTTTATTTCTATGTTTCTCGTCACCCGCGCGCATACGATTCAGGAGTCTGGAAGAAAAAAAGAAAAGAAAAACTGTGCTGCACTGACTGTGCATGTGGGGACCAGCACACTCATGCACATGTACATAATGTGGCCTGGCCTGCACGACACATGATGCAAGGATGGCATTTTTGTGCGCAATCTAGCTGCACATGCTCAGATTGTGACAGAAGCTCCTACCACATACTAGTTGCTAACTATGGATGCTATTTTGCATGGTGTATTGGTAGATTTTAGTGTGAACAAAGGTCTAATAAACTTTTTTTAAATATTTTTTTCCACCTCTCGCATACGTTTTTAGATTTTCAGGTGACGAGAAACATAGAAATAAAAACGTGTGGCCTTATAGGTAACTACTATAGGAAGAAGGCTGATCCACTTTGGAGCAAGGCACATAATAACTGAACAGTTCACACATTGTAGTTGATAATTGTAAGTTGCGGTTCCTTACCGCAGCAGCAGGCTCTTCATACTCGGTGTCGGTGTATTGGGGTTTTCTCAGCTGCTCCTCATAACGACAATGCCGTCTCCACTCCTCGGCGGCTTCAGCACTCGGAGCGAGTCCCTGAGAGAGACGATTGATGCCCTCCTCAAGACCGGCTTCTTTCTCTGCAATGTCCTGCTGTGCTGCCCTTAGCTCGGCCTGTTGCGCAAACAAACAAAAAAAAACGGTAGGAAAGAAGTCAGAGCAATGAATCAATACAACAGACCTGTAAGACTAATGGAAGAGACATTCAAGACAAGATTCAACAGCAATCAACAATCCATTTGGCATCGGAAATATGAGAACTCAACACGACCATCGAAACAACTGTGGAGGCTAAAGGATGAAGAGAAGCCATACAGCATTGCGTGATCAGCTGTGAGGCGAGCTACCCCATATTCCAACAACTCGAAACGCTGCAATCTGTGTCTAGCTGAGAATTAGCCGAAGTGTCTGATTTTTCTTTATCATCGACCGCAACTGCAACTTTACCGAATGGTGAAGTACTGGAGAAGACCACTACGAAAACACGTGTAACATCCGAGCAAAATATTGCAAAAGAAACGTCCCAACGATTTGTGCAGGTGTCGGAGGATGAGATCGACAGAATCCGTGAAAGCCGTGTTCCAACCAACACGAAGCAAGCCACCAGCAACTGGCTACGTGTCTTGGATATTTGGTGTACAGTGAATAAGAAAAAGTGTGATCTGAAAACCATCTCAGCTACCAACCTAGCCTCAATTCTAAAGCATGCGTATGTGGCAATCAGGCAGCTCAACAAGCTACCATACTTGTGCACATGATGATGATGACCCCGATTTCAATCAGCCGTCACTGAGCAAGCTGTGGAAGGTCGGACAACACATACTCAATCAATTCTGGATCTGTTGAAGGGATGAGTATCTGGTTAGCTTACGACAGAATGCATTTGCTACACGTCGCGAGGAAGTCCACAGAATGCCCCAGATTGGTGAAGTGGTGTTAGTGAAGGAGGCTGTTCTACCCAGAGGACGCTGGATCATGGGGCGCATAACTGAAACCACAACAAGTTCAGATGGCGCAGTTCGATCAGCGACAGTGCTACAACCCTCTGGAAAGCAACTACGCCGTCCTGTTTCTCTCCTTTATCCGCTCGAATGTCCGTCACAGCCGTCAAGCCCGCCGTTACAACAGTCAAGTCCACAGAAACAGCCCTCAGTCCAACCGACATCACAATCTACTGCCTCAAATAGCCAATGCATCCCAGACCGTGGCCCGAAACGAGCTGCAGCAAACAAGTGTGGTGACTTTGTGCGTGCTCTGAGAGATAGTAACGCTGTGTAGTCCTGTCACCTTTGGTAGGTGTTCTATTTTGAATTTGAATTTGATTAATGTCTTCGTTTTCTTCTTTGACCTATAAATTTGTCTTACCTTTGTTGCTCTCCCATGTATTGTAAGACGTCTCAGCTATTTCTCGGCCCGGAGTGTCGCGAAGCGATACTCTATGTCCTGCAACCGTACAAACACTTACGCTTACACCCCCAGCCTGTGTGTTGTTTACAGCCAGGTCGTGCATGTTTGTCCCCTGCATGCTGCATATATTGGCTGCCTCCTCTTTAGACTTTTACATTTGCACCCTTGCTGCATGCGCTGCAGGACCCTCCCGATCCAGTTCTGACCTATTGTACTGTCCATACATAGCACCATCCGTATTTAGCATGCATTTTCCATGCATAGATTGCACGTGCCAAAAGTGGTGCGCGCTTGACATCTGTCTTGTCTTTCCTGGTCTTTTACTTTAGTTTTTAGAACAGACAGAAGAGAAGAAACAAGTAGTATTTATTCTAGGCTCTCTCCCCCCCCCCCCCCTCTCTCTCAACGAAGTTTATTGTTGATATCTCTACAAGTACAAGATTGTAAACAAAGTATTTACGTCTATTGAATCTGAGTGCAGTATTTATTGAAGTCAAGAACCAAGTGTTTCTTTCGAAGTACCTATTATTCTTGTGGGTCGATCGGCAGCCCACAAACTGGTGACTTACCTTATTCGTAGCATTGCTAAATTTATCCATGTGAATCATGTTGTTTTCCCTCTCCTGAACCCCCCCCCCCCCCCAGTTTCAACCGGCCCTAGGACCACAAAAAGCTCTTTTAATTAATGCTGCACTTATTGGAATATCTGCGACTGATGGTGTTAATTCTTTTCTAATCGTGCCGTACTAGTATTTAACTCTTTGCCTGTGGAGTGGAGAACCCATCACCGTACTTCTACGTTTTCTAAGCACCTTCAGACCATGTTTTTAAAAGACTCGGTGTCTTTTCAGAAGTAGTTTGATCTTCTATTCAGCAAAACCTCTCATTGATCTGCATCGCTTGTGCTGTACAATTGTGGGTTTTTTTGCATTCCTAGATTAATTTGTTTAACATCTCTTCAATTCAGATGGAGAGCCAAGGTTCAATTTATACAAAAGAGAAAGACCAAGGAACTACAAGTTACGCTATACTGTCCAGTACTGTCGGTCAGTGTCGTGCAATGTTATCGCATGAGCTGATTGTTTAGTAACTGGTGGTGTTAGTGGACAGTATAGCGTAACTTGCAGTTCCTTGGTCTTTCTCTTTTGTATAAATCTCTTTAATTCTTGCCTTTATCCCATGAATCCCTCACATATCTTGAAGGAATAATCCGATATCCCGGGAGCAGAACGCTGGTATAGTAAAACACACCACCTCTGTGCCACTGCTGCATGGATCCCAGTCCACTGTCTTTTAAAGCCACCTACTGCCTGCACCTGGCGCCTGCACCATGCCCCCCCCCCCTTGCCTCGCCCCTTATGCTACGTACAACTTGCCTGTGACACATTTGATGGCAATAGTTGCCTACGTCCTGATAAAAAATAGAAAATAAAAAATTTCACGGTTCGTGAGAGACTCGGCTAGAGGCCGGGTTTTCCCCATCCGTAGAAACGCCACGACCCTTCAAGAATCGTTGTCCTGATAAGACAACGTGTAATATCTACCGAACGGGTCGCCCGGTCGTGGTGTTGTTAGTGTTTCTTGCTGGAAGCAGGTAGCAGCAGCAGCAGCAGACCTGACTTACTTCCTGCACTGCAATCTCTGCCACGGTGGCCATCATTTTTAGCTTGGTTTTCTCCAGCTTGGCTCGGAGTTGCACCAGCTGGAAGGCATATGTATGCACACACAAGCACACACACCACCAAACGCGCATGCATGCACACACAAGCACACACACACAAACATGCACGCATGCACGCCGTGATCGAGATGAAAAAGGAAATTAGTGCAACAGACAGGTCAATGGATCCACAAACAAACTCTGCAAAACTTGGGTGACTTGGGTGGCTTGGGCGACTAGGGTGACTTGGGTAGCTTGGGTGGCTTGACTTTAAAGCACAAATGGTGACCTACCTGGTTGTGTTCGGCTAGTGCTGCCTCGCTGGTCAACGTCACACGCTTCTGGAGTGTCGACGACATTCGACTGACCTCCATTAGCATGAGCGCTTTCTCTTGCTTCTGCGCCTCCCTTTCACTCACCATGGACTCCAGCTGTGAGAAGAAGAAAGCCAGATTTCAGTGAATAGTAGCCACTGAATACGCTGCAATATGCGGCTGCGTATCAAAGGAAACACAACGTACAGGTATGAATGTTTGCCATTGAGAGGTTACCGTGACTACATTCAGTAGCTATCAAGTAGCCACGTTTGCCCCCCCCCTCCCCCCCCCCCCCCCCACACACACATACACACATACAGTGTGCTGGTACTGGCCAACATAATCTCGTACTTCACAGCTGAATGAAGCATACTAGTAGGATTTGTAACATGGAAATTGTGGACACAAGCGACGATCGAGTCCACCAACTAAACCAGATTTTGAACAGTCAGACGTGCACAATCTAGCACAAAACTGACAAAGAGTACTGAGATATTCCACGGCATGAAAGTCAGCTTGAGCACTGCTCGATAGCGCCAACAAAGTAGGATGCGTTTGTTATATTACTATGGATTGACGATAGTGATGTGATCATGTCACATAACGTTATGTTATACAGTTTTAGTGTAAAATGTCTGTTGCGTGTTGCAAATGGTGTTACGCTACAGGATATTTATGGTCTTGAAAGACTGTTCTGGGTTTGGAAATGCGTTCGGAAAAGTTCTTGGGACTTCTGTGCACACCCTGCGGCAGCATGTAAACCCAGCCATGGTATCCATGGTATCCATGGTATCCATGGTATCCATGGTATCCATGTTGAGCAGAGAACATGAGACTGTGAACTTGGACCTCTAGGCACTAAACGCTCCAACGGAGAAGTTCAGGGCTCACAGTTGCGTAGAAAAGCGTCGATTAGATGGGGGCGGTGCACGTGCTCCAAAATGCCAGCTTGGCCAATCAGCAGTCAGCATTTCGTCGCATTTTTGCTCGAAGTAGGGGGTGTTTGAAGGAGTTAGCAGCACTTCAGCCAGGTTCTACGAAGCTGGGACTTGGCCCAGGCACAGATGACAGGTGTTCCAAAAGATTTACCGAAACAAATTTTCATTACTCACACGGGTATGCCAGAGCATATGCGTAAACTTCGTGAGATATAGCACAGCATTCGAAAGGAGTATCCAAAAACGTCTCGGTAAATTTCTTTGCCAGGGTCTCCTGAAAATTTTGAGCCATAGATTGTCCAAATCGACCAAGGGGGAGATGCTCTGTACTAATTTTAGTAACCCCGAGTCCCAGCGGCGCGCAACCGCTTGCGCGAAAATGTGTGAAGATCAAACAACAAGAAAAACGCATGCATGCAGCAGAACAGCAACGCCGTCGAAGAGAAAATCATTGTGCACAGATTGTTCAGTGTTCTCTCCTCAGTTCGCCCGCGGCGTTGGTTGCTGTGCTTTCATTCTCGCTGGAGTTCTTGTGGCAGCGCATTTCGCCATCATGGAGGAACTGGCACCCTGGGAAACTTGGTCTTCAGTGGCCCTCGACAAACGCCCGGTGGATTTGCTGGTCCCGTTCACCTCCATCCGATCACCAGCTCCGTGTGGTATCATCATGTTCTCGGCGTTACCTGCCTGGCGAGCTCTGACTCGTTTGTTTGTCTTCTTACCTGTGGAATCATCACGATCGCTCATTGTAGGATCAGCTCTTGGTCGAACATGGCATGTTGTTTTTATTGGGACTAGCACAGGTTGCGTTTCGCCTTCTCCTCCAAAATATCGCGAACATCGGCTCTAAAACTACGAGAACAGTACACATGGTACAAGTACAACTCTGGTTCTTTCTCTTTTCTGTTCTGTTTTGGATGCGTGGGATGTACACGATCGGTACTCTCCCGGGGTCACGCGACTCACGTGCACCAAACCCGCCCTCGCACGACGCTTTTGTCGATCCTGCATACCTGCTGTGAGCCCTGAAGTTTAAAAAAATCATTCCGCTACATCGTGGATCATGTGTGTAACACAACCACGAAGAAATTGGTTGCACAGTACATGCACGCACCTCCGTCTCTCGCTCCACCAATGTGCTCATTTCCAGGTCCTTCCCGCCAAGGTGCACAACACGCTCACAGTCAGCACTCTGTACTGTTTTCTCGAGCCGCGCCGTTTCGTCTCTGAGTTGGGCCAGCTGCAGCAACAGAAGAAAAACACCGTTCCCATCATTAAAAAACAACAGATTGCCATGATGTGGATGACTTCTTCAATTCATTGCTGTTGTATCCTGAATACAGTCAATATCCTTACCCTGATGTACCACTAAAAACCGTGTTGGGACCCGTAGCACAATACATACTACAACATTAAATAAAGAATTCAAACATTCAACATCTGAGGGTGCACATCCAGTGGATTTGCAGATTTGCGTGCTTCTCTTGCGGCGGGTGTACACATGCTACATGGTACTACAACGTCCCAAGCAATCTATCCAGTGCTCGGCATTCACCTGGGGCTTGACTCTAATGAAGGCAACATGCTATTCAATCGCTACAAGTATGGCCGAAGAGAGGGTCAGATTCTCACCTTGATTTGGCTGATGACTAGCTCGTCATCTAGCTCCCTTCGATTGGGCGCCGTTGATTTGAGGGCTGCCAGCGCCCGCTGCTCCTCAGCCAGCTGTCAAAATCACAGGACGTACATGGGCATTTGTTGGGCATCTGCGGACAGTCTTAATAGGAATTTTACAGCTCTGTTCTCAGGTTGATATCTGTTGTATGTGAAGAAGTGAAGGTCACAATCGCTGTAGTATGCTTAGAATAGGGTGCCACAACAGAACATTCAGTAATAGAGTGTGGCCACTGCACTTTCACTGCAATCAGGAAATCATTTCGAGCAGTGTTGATATGATTATTGACATACTGACATACTGTATGACTGTGCTTTGTGTCGGCTGATCACCGGCTAGGACACATGCTGCCAAAGCCACGTTTGGATAAGAAGGACGTTAGATATGAAGTATGTTATCTGGTCCCCAAGGCGGCACATTTCATTAGAGTTTCACTGTACATCACACTGGCAAATGATAAAACGAGGCAAGCTCACCGTAAGTCCGTACCCTATTCTAGACTCCTACGATTTGCTACTTTGATACAGCAGAAATGTATGTTGCGAATCTCCTAGCCAAACCATTGCTGGTACGACATTGTGTGGACAATCAATCTGTGGTGACTATGCTACTCGAATGTCAGCCAACGGGCATGCAATCATCGCCTAGTGTTCTTACCTCGACTTTCAAAAAGCGAATCTCCTCTTCTCTTTCATTCATGGCAATATTCGCCTCCCGTGTCATTTTGTCTGCAATACAAACGAGAGGAAAGGAAAAAAAGGAGTTTCATCACAAACTCTTCTCACCAAAGCACTTAGCAAAGTCGCATTCCCCCTCCCAACAACCATACACAGTGTAAATTATGCTCTAGTTTTAGAACTGAGAAGTGCAACACACAAAGATAGTAGTATAGTATAGTATAGTATTTATTCATATTTCTCTAGGGCAGTCCCCACAGACCTATGGTCTCCTTACGGGGTACCCTAGCCAATCTAGGATTGCGATACGAAATTGACTTGGTGAAGCAGCAAGGCGGACCGATGCCGGAAAGTAGTCTAACATTATGATCTGCGGTACAAACCAGAGTAGATCTACTAGCCTACCGTGCAAGTTCTGCTTCTGCAGGAACACTGTCAAGTCTTCGTCGGCGGCAACGATGCAAATGCCCCTGGTGCGAAGAGAAAGCAGCAGAGTTGAAAATAGCAACACAGTGATACACAGGACGGAGGCTAGGAATAGGAACTACTGTACATGTCTTAGCACAGTGTGTAAGGCAGAGAGGTATTAGCACAGTGTGTAAGGCGTGAGTAGGGACACAACATACAGTTGAATTCGACAACACACGGCAAAGCCTCCCGTGAACGAACCGCTTGGCACCAGATGGATCTATCCTCGTCAATGGTCAATGGGGAGTTCCAATTTAGCGAAGAGTGTGAGAGTGAGACCATGAGTATCTTATGCAGATGTGTATGTGAAAGAGAAAAGTAGACATAGGCAGGAGAGGAGAGAGACAACGAGAGAGAGAGAGAGAGAGAGAGAGAGAGAGAGAGAGAGAGAGAGAGAGAGAGAGAGAGAGAGAGAACAGAAACAGAAACACAGACAGGCAGACCAACATACAAACAGACAGACAGACCGACAGACAGATAGCCAGACAGATAGCCAGACAGGCTAGTGTACTCACCGGTCGTCTCTGTTTTGCAACGCATCCTCATACTTGTCTCGAACCTACATGTAGTATGCAGCAAATACAACAAGGAGAACATCAGACACAAATCAAATACAACAAGGAGAACATCAGACACAAATCAAATACAACAAGCAGAACATCAGACACAAATCAAATACAACAAGCAGAACATCAGACACAAATCAAATACAACAAGGAGAACATCAGACACAAATCAAATACAACAAGGAGAACATCAGACACAAATCAAATACAACAAGGAGAACATCAGACACAAATCAAATACAACAAGGAGAACATCAGACACAAATCAAATACAACAAGGAGAATATCAGACACAAATCAAATACAACAAGGAGAATATCAGACACAAATCAAATACAACAAGGAGAACATCAGACACAAATCAAATACAACAAGGAGAACGTCAGACACAAATCAAATCCATATGCAGCACAGTAAACATTTGGGTTAAACATGAACAACGGCTACATTGCTTTACGCACCTATTCTTTGATTTTGCTTTAATGCTGACAAATGGCGCATCGAAGCCTCGTCAAGCTAACACCATTAGACTCGGCGTTCCGAAGACTACATACAGGTTTGGAAAAATTGAGACAGCCCTTGACAGCCAGCACCCTAGGTAAATCACCATAATTTCAGGAACCTGGACGGACGGTGGATGAACCTCGCATGATAATTTCAGAAACCTGGACGGACGGTGGATGAACCTCGCATGATAATTTCAGAAACCTGGACGGACGGTGGGTGAACCTCACATGATAATTTCAGAAACCTGGACGGACGGTGGATGAACCTCACATGATAATTTCAGAAACCTGGACGGACGGTGGATGAACCTCGCATGATAATTTCAGAAACCTGGACGGACGGTGGATGAACCTCGCATGATAATTTCAGAAACCTGGACGGACGGTGGATGAACCTCGCATGATAATTTCAGAAACCTGGACGGACGGTGGATGAACCTCGCATGATAATTTCAGAAACCTGGACGGACGGTGGATGAACCTCGCATGATAATTTCAGAAACCTGGACGGACGGTGGATGAACCTCGCATGATAATTTCAGAAACCTGGACGGACGGTGGATGAACCTCGCATGATAATTTCAGGAGCCTGGACGGACGGTGGATGAACCTCGCATGATAATTTCAGGAACCAAGCATGCACACCGTGTAAACAGTGAATCAAATGTGTTCATCCTGCAGATTGTCTATTGCAAAATGTGTGACAGCATCGGTTGGTTGGCCGTGGTTACAATAGCAATGGCGTGCGCGGAGGGTAATGAGTCGGCCTCTATCATCTCCTCCGCGGACAACAAATAGATACGACTTCAGGCCGCTATCGAGTTTGTAATGCCCAAATAGATGACACCGCCGGGTAGCCAGCCCTTTCGCAGGCGAGCCCTAGTGAAAGCCTGTAACTGGATCGCTTTGCAATCAGTGGCGGCAACCCCAGCTACTTCGTCAAGGCCCATCACAAGGCAGCTGTCAGGAGCATCGGGGGCCTGCCACCACTGCGGCCAAATCAGGCATAATGTCAAGTTTTGCCCAAAAAGAAACAGACAAAGCTAAGTTACTAAATGATGTGGTCGGTATGGATATTGGCGTTGACGTTGCTGTGGATTCTTCTGTTGGAGATGTTGCTGACATCAATGAGAACATGATTAGAGAAATACTTCAATTTATTTGTGACATTGCCAAACACACTACAGTACGTTGTAATTTGGCTGGAGATTGGTGCGTCGTAACAAGGTTCTGAAATTGGTCGCCAAGGCTATTTTCCGCTTCAGCCCACGACAATCTGCACTCATGTCCTGGATTTCTGATGTAGAGCTTGTGGCATTCCGTGCTCTTATCAATTCACACCAGTTGTTCGACACCAGCCCCTGTATAGCCCAACTCAAACACTTGCGTTCGGCTGTGCCTGCGTATGCGTGTGAGGAAAGATGTTAAAATTGCAGTTAACTGTGGGAAATATTCCTTCCACTTCCAACCTAGTACCATGATGTGATGGGCTATAAAAACGAGTTGGTAAATGACATACAGTAATACGTTTCTCGGCAGTAACGAATCTAGCGTTCAGTACATTGCCACCACAACAATGGTTACACAGAAATAGTGTATAGTCTTGTAAAAGCACACGACTGGAGCGCTATCAGCTAACACATAGACTTACTGAACGCATCTCATTCTCAGCTCTTGTCAATGCCCGTGATGTGTTGCCTATTTGAACAGTCTGTTATCAATCCAAATGGCACACATGGCGCACATGGAAAACACACATACACACACACACACACACACACACACACACACACACACACACACACACACACACGCATACACACGCACATACACACACACACACACACGTAAACACACGTGCACACAAGAAGAAGAGTTGAGATTCTTACTCCGGACACAACATGGAATAACACTCATCCACAAAATATCCCCTAGTATCAGATTCTGTTTAGCTAATGCCCCATCCCATCCCTATTTCTGCAGCTCAATAGCACTTATGGCAGCGTACATGTGCAGAAGAAAATGTTAGTTTCCAAATGGCAGCACCATACCTGCTCATCACAACGCATGACTGCCAACCGAAGCTTAGTACGCGCTTGGGATACGTCTTGTTTCAGGACATCGCGAGCATTTACATCACTGCTGTACTGCAGACTGGATTGCTGCAGCAACCTAGGCGGTTAGACAGTGGATAACATAGAGCAAACAACAACTTAGGTGATCAGGCAGTGAGCAATATAGAGCAAACAATCCACGTGACCAGGCAGTGAACAACGTAGAGCAAACACTCCACGTGATCAGGCAGTGAGCCATATAGAGCCAGGAACTTAGGTGATCAGGCAGTGAGCAATATAGAGCAAGGAACTTAGGTGATCAGGCAGTGGACATCACAGACTGACAGAGCAAACAAACCACGTGATCACCGGTCAGGCAGCGGACAATATAGAGCAGGCAATGCCCAGTTACACGACTGATACACTCTGACATACTTCCGCTGACATACATGTACTAGCACTCTTGCGACATACTCATGTCATAGCTCTATCGCAAATCTGGGCAAAGGTGTATAGTCTTTATACACACTCAGGCTAATGGCTCATGTGCACAGCACCATTTTCCATTGCCAACAGCTTCGAGGCCGTGGCCACCATACTTTTTTATTGTGTTTGACTATCGCAATAACACAGAGCCAGACTCAAGTTCTGGTCTGTGTATGTGGGTGTGGATTGGAATCCCACCTCAGACACCAAGTACAAGTAATGTGTTCGACTATCGCAACAACACAAACGAAGACACACACACACGTGCACGCACCCTCCCCCCCCCCCCCCCCCTTGATCAGCATTGATTGTTTAGACTTGTTAACTCTTTTTTTCTGCCATGTGATCCTTCTTATCTTCCCTCATGATAGATGCCCCATCCCTCGCACCTCGTGTTCCTTAGGACACTCCATGTGATGGTCATCCATTTGCCTTTGGACAATCCTTGAAATAAAAAGTCAATGTCAATCAAAAAGAGCACGTTTGAGTACCACTAGCACAAAGATTGACATATAGACGAAGCCACAGCGCTTACCTATTTTTGTTCTCAATCTCGGTCTGTAAGACTTCTCGGATACCAACGTGCAGCCTGGCCTTGTCCAGAAGTTCACCTCTTTTCTGAAAACAGAGCGAACAGCAATGAAGCAGACCGCGGTTGCATGTTTACATCATTAACAACACACACACGCACACACACACACACACACACACACGTGCGCACACACACACACACACACACACACACACGAGAGCACGATTAGTCCACGGGCAAGCATGGCTGTGCGGTCCCAACCAGCTTTCTACAAACAGTAAAACCTGTCAAGGCGACCACTCGGATAAGGCGTCCACCTGCCCAAGAAGACCACTGAAACCAGGATCAAGGGATTCTATTTCCAGTCAAAGGACCCTGGACAAGGAGACCACCTGGTTACAGAGACATTTTGAAGGTCCCTTGAGCGGTCGTCTTAGATAGATTTCACTGTACTCAATACTCACATATCAGTGCATCTACTATGGTCAACAGCATCACGTCACTGCAAAGACTTAGCACAGCAGGAAGTGCAATAATTTCATGCATACTTACTCGTTGGGATAGCGCCGTCAGTTGTGCCAGCTTGGCTCTCTCGGCCTTCAGTGCATCATGAAGGTAACGGAAGTCTTTGTGCCTGTAGCAAGTGTAAACAAACGTGTACACACACAGACACACACAGACACACACAGACACGCACAGACACAGAAGGACAAAAAGACAAAAAGGACTTTGGATCTGCCAGGTTTGTTCGTTCAAGGTCTCCAGCTTCTGCGGTGATGGTATGAGAGCTACAAGTCCAGGTGCTACAAGTACAAGTACAAGTACAAGCAGTACTAGCACAATTCTGTATGTGAATGACTGCGAGGACGCCATGCCTGCTGGTGCGGAATGGCCACCACCCCAGTGCAGGCCTGTGCACTACAGCACTGTCGGGCGCCGAAGAACTGGGAGTCAGGGTTCTAGCCTAGCCCGTTCCTATGTTTAGCGAACACAGCGGTCTCGTTCTTATTCGATGTTACAGTCTTACACGTACATTTATGCAGAGTTATACGTCTGAGTGTACATTATAGTGTACATTACGGTTTCCGTTCTTTATATCTGCAAAAATCCAGCAAGACCATTCTTAAAAATCGGTGAAATTCTAGCCTGGCCGTTCTTCGGTGCCCGACAGTAAGTTACTGTATGGCGATTGTTGTTCTGATATCCTGGCAGGGGCTAGCTCTCTCCAATCTTTCAATCAAAAAACAGATCATGTATTCGTACTTCCTCCGCGTCATCGAAATTGTCGCAGTTTGAATAGTGACTTGTCACTTGTTACTGACAACTCCATAAACTAAGCCATTTAAAACTTATTACACAGTATGATAGTCTGAAGACTAGAGTAACGTTCCAGGACAATTGGACTGAGAGTTTTCATGCAGAGATGAAGTCCTCATCGTCGCTGATGTCAATGGACGCAAAAATATCGTTCCGAAATATTTCAAGGAAGGTTGAAAGTTGGTCGCGCCTCATCTCAAACGCTTTGACTTTCTCCACAGGACAAGAGCTGCTATGCTTGTCGTCTGCTAGCTCTGGATGATTTCTACTTCACCACCAACGAAGCCTAGTAAGAATACACGATCGTTGCGAGGTCGGTTGATTACCGTCGGCGGAATCACCTCGGAATCACCTCGATCTTGAAATGAACTTTTTTTAGCCGTGGCATGCCCACAGCTCATGCAGGTAAGTGTAGTATCACGTCCAGCGCGCCCTCTTTTTCAGCATCACTGGTATACCATGGTACGGCACCTGCGCGTGCATCACTAGCATTACGTGTAGAGTCTACACGGCTCTTGCAGGTACAATCATGTACTAGTACTGAGTGTCTCAGCCAGAGCGACACATTTTATCGCTGTTGCAGGCATTTAGTTCGCCGACCCCTCGATGTTTCTCCAAGCGCTGCCACTTGTTCCACGAAGTCATTCTCACCCCAGCTAAGGTAAAACAGTGATGGGGCTTGAGTGAATGGCCATAAGCACGAGAAATGTGCAGGCTGCAACGCCTGACTGATCTCAGCGAGTCGAAATTACCAGCGCAGCGACATCAGCGAAGAAATTGCGTCTAGTTCAAAAATTCCAGCTTCCAATAACAGAAAATAGAACTTTGCCGTCACCCTATACTGATGACTATCTCCTATGTCCGATTCCTTGCCTCTGGTACGAGTGCTGGTGAGTAAATACCGCGTTTTACACCAAAAGTCAAACTGCGACAATTTCGATGACGCGGAGGAAGTACTAGATTGTGACACTGGTCAGACGGGCTGCTCACTAACTTTTTCACAGCTCTCCTCGAGTACTTCTCCAAGTCCTTCACCTCACTAGTCAACAGAGCCAACCGGTTCCTCATGCCCATGATCCTCAGCTGTAACAAACACAACACACACACACACACACACACACACACACACACGCACATGCAGGCACACACACACACACACACACACACACACACACACACACACACACACACACACACACGCACCCAGATTAGACGGAGTATGGGAGAGCAAACTTCAAATATCTCTCAGCACACTGCACAAGTGAACGGCACACTCCATGCTGGGGCCAGACTGGGGCTTTCCCTGAGACATGGTCCAAGCACAATGGGCAGCCAGATTAACAGTGAAAGCCCCAGTCTGCTTGAGTAGGGATGTCAGCGAACGCACTGCGCGGGCCTCTGCGCATGCATTGCGTCATCGATTTTTTTAAACGTGATCGCGGCCGACAGAGAAAACATGGCCGCGGTCTGTTTGCACCGCTGGGAGTCGTAAAATTACTGTTCTTCTGTCCCCGCGACCATTCAAATCATACGCGATACTCGAGGACCCACGTACTCACCACGTTCTCCCCGGTCGATTTCTCTGAAAGTTTGCACATCGTGAAACACCAGTATGAAAGGTGTTCAGGCCAATTTTCAAGGAATTTCCCTGGTTGGATGGTTCCAAAATCGGACTTGCATTTCTCGCTCGCGGCCATTTCTTGCGCGATGGAAGCGCCCTGCCCTGGTGAGTAACCAGCTTCGCGCTTGGTAGAGAGTTGTTGCAATCAGCTCCCTGATGTCTTCGCTGCCATTGTCAGAAGCGATGGACCATGAATTTGTTTGAGAGTCTCTGGATGCTACTATTCCTCAGCCTAGTTTTCAGCCATTCCGTGCATCTTCTTCGCACGATTTATTTCGCAAAAAAATGAAAGTGTTCATGAGTTTTCTTGTCGGCCGCACGTAGATGGGCCAGGCTGACCTGCGCAGATGGGCTGCGCAGTGCGTTCGCTGATATCCCTAGCTTGAGCTATGTCACAGCGGAAGCCCCATTCTGCTTGAGCCATTTCACAGGGGAAGCCCCAGTCTGGCTGTTCATTGTGCTTCGCCCATGTCACGGGAAACCCAGAAGCCAGAATCAGGGAGGTTTACAAACAAAAGGGGTCGGTATGACACCATGACCTGGTGGCTGCATACGGACAGCATTCAGTTGCATGCAAGTGTCATTTTGTTCTCGCTTGTTTCACACAGTGTGCACGCTGGCTGTACTGCATGGCACCCATACACATGTACGTACAATTTTACACCTTTGGAATGCCACATGCAGAACGACTTAGTATGTGTGTTCGGTTATCCGGTTCCCTTGCCTATCCGGATATTTTCGTGGAATGCGGATGTGTGCGGTTAAGCGAGGTCTGACTACATGACATTGTATATCTGCCTCGGTTCTTGTTGTGATCCCGTTCCATTACCCATAAATGGATCACACAATCTATATATCATTCTATGTACTCTGTACTCTCACTAGTCGATCGATGTACCCGATCCGTTCCTGGATCAGTTACCTATGCATTCCCGTACTGTGTACATATACGCATCATGACAGTTTATCTTTATCTTTCCTTCTTCTTGTAAATAAACCTCAGTCGTTGTCTGGAGCTGTTGAGTGGGGTCTTGTGTTTGACGTGGGGACAAACCCAAACGTTACATGGTGTCAGAAGTTTGATAGCAGAAATGTCTTCTGCAAAGTTCCCACTTCCCGGCGCTTTCGACTTCTCAGCACCAGAAGCATGGCAAAGCTGGAAAGCCAGGTTCGAATTCGCTCCTTGTCCAAACTGGACGAGTCAGACGAGCCACGCCAGGTGGATATGCTTGTTTATTCCATGGGTCCCGAGGCCGACCCGATCTTCGAGTCTTTGAACCTGACGGTGGAGGACAGGAAGAAAATTGTGTCTGTCCTTTCAGCATTCGACAAGTATTTTCGCCCTGGCGTGAACGTGATCCACCAGAAGACTCTTTTCGAGCACTATATGCAGTCCCCAGGTGAAACTGTTGAACCGTACGTCCGCCGACTACGAGCCGCAGCCAAGTACTGTGCATTAGATAAACCTGATGAGAGAATCCGAGACCGATTTGTAGCTCACATGACGAACAGAGAAGTTTCCAAACAGCTACAGCTCGAGGATCACAACTCACTGGACTTGGAAACAGCCGTGAGTCTTGCGTGGAAAACGGAATCCGTGAATGCTGAAGTCGCCCAGCAATCCTCCATGGACGGGTACCTCGGCAAGCAAGCTGCTGCAGCTACAATTAGTCGCACTGGAGGCCATGGACAGCGCTCCTCGCCTGCATCCAGCAAGTCGTCTGGGCCAGGGTCTAGTAAGACATCGTATCAACTGTCGACAAGTGGAAACTTTCGGAAGTGCTTGTGGTGTGATTCGTCAAAGGATCACAAGGCAAACCGCGATGAATACCCAGCGAAGTCAAAGACATGCTTGACTTGCCAGAAGACAGGCCACTTCGCGTCAGTTTGTCGTAGTAGGTCCAATGGTTTTGGACGCGCTGCTGCACATGCTGCGTCGACGACAGGACACGACGAAGACCCAGCACACTTTCTGGGAGCAGCCTCAACTCAAAGTTCCAGTGCTGGCGCACCCTGGACTGTGCAGCTCCGTGTGTGCGTCACGCAGACGTCAAGTTCAAGATCGACACAGGCGCAGACCTGAATATCTTGACCCGTGATTGTTTCAACACACTGCCAGAACGACCAACACTCAGTCCCACCAAGTCTCATGTCACCGGAGCAGATGGCAAGAAAGCTTGACATTGATGGCGAGTTCAGTACTGAGGCTACCCTGCATAGTGTCTCATACTCGATCACACTACTGGTCATTGCCACTGGTGGAGTCAACTTGCTAAGCCGCCAAACCTCGCAGAGAATGGGTCTAGTCCAGCGAGGCCACATTGGTGTATCAAGTGCTAGCCCTGCCCTTGGTTGCATGGTCGGCGACCCGGTAAAGATTGAGCTTCGCCCCGATGCAAAGCCGCACAACTACGCCAACGCACGTAGGATGCCCATCCATATCTGCGTCAAGGTCCGTCGTCAGCTGGAATGGATGGAAACTGAGGGGGTGTTCACGAAGGTGGAACAGCCGACAGACTGGTGCACCAATGGTCCCGATGTTGAAGCCAAATGGCAATGTCCGAGTGCGTGTGCATCTGAAAAAGCTCAACGCGAGTGTCAAACGGGAGCACTTTCCGTTGCCAACTGTGGACGACACGCTGGCAAAGCTTAATGGGTCAACCATCTTCTCCACACTCGACACCGTGTCTGGTTTCTGGCAAATTCCCCTGTCGGAAGAAACCTCCATGTTCACCACGTTCATCACTCTATTCAGTCGGTTCAAGTTCGAACGCCTGCCGTTCGGAATCACCAGTGCTCCGGAGATTGCTTGAACAGTTCGAATCTTAACCAGTTTGAACAGTCGATTTGCGTTGGGTATCAGCGACGATCTAAAGGGAAGATGGGCAAGTGTTGTCCCAGACTGCCACTATACTCACATTTCTCGTTTCTATAGACCTAATGCTCTCATCACGGTCCTTTTCCTGCACAAGAACAAAGGTAATAAGTCACATACATGTACACACACACACACACACACACACATATGCACGCACACACACACACACACAGACGCACACAGACGCACACACACACACACACACACACACACACACACACACACACACACACACACACACACACACACACACACACACACACACACACACACACCAATAAGGAAATTTTCCAGCAGCTGGATTTCCTAGTGGCACGGGTTAAAACCCGGTCACCCAATCTCTCACGGAAATAACAAACAAGATAACACTGAGTTGTGTAGCATAGTCAATATCTACTAATTCCTGATCTTCCAGTAACTTATATATTGACTGGATGTATACACACTACACTGTACAATGATACGGCTAGGGCGCTAGCGAAGATATATTGAATTATATTACCAATCCTCCCAGTAACTGCTGCAGGATTGTTGTGGCATGTGTGAAGTTTGTAGGGGGGGGGGGGGGGGCAGCAGGTGACAATGTCGCCTTCACACTCACCAGTTGTGTATGCCTGGCATTAGTCTGCTGCACATCTTTCTTGATCATCTCCAGGAGATCCTTCATTGCAGCTTCCTTCTGCTGCAGCCTCCTCACCTCCTCTTTCTGTTCTTGACTGAACAAACCCTGTGGAAAAGATTGTTCAGAACACACCAGCAGGTCACACACACTCACACACGCTGTAGCAGCCAGACCTACACAGGGGCGTACGCAGGGTTCTTCAGAGGCGGGGGGGGGTTACATCGGCATGGGGAGGGGATTAAAAAAATTCCGGCATGCCCACAATAAAGGAGAATACAGCAGCAAGTACTATGTACCTATAGTATAGGTAGTGAATGGAATAGCACCCAGTGAGTACGGCCACATAGCATCGATCCAGCATAAATGCATATTCAACTGAAGCCATAGGTAGAAAAGAGTAGTCTGATTCAGACACCAGTCTGGTACATATCTGTACGCAGAATTGCCATGACTGAGGCATGAGTTGACCAGTGCGAACAATCCTCCGAATGTCGGCGAAACGGCAAAGAACAATGGGTGGGTACAGAAACTTTTCAAAGCATGCATACTTCTTTTGTGGCGGCATCAAACGCTGCCTTCTGTTCTTTCTGCAGGCGCTGGTACTGCTGAGCTCGATTCTCAAGCTCTTGCGTGGCTTCTTGTACCTGGGCAGGGCAGAGGAAAGAATAAATACAAGGCAGAACAAGAGCCAGCAACAGTCATACATCTATTTTCAAAGCCACAGCACAACGTGACGGGTTGGTTCAGGTGTGTGTTTGTTTGTTTGTTTTGAGTTCACCAGATACACAGGCATTTCTACCTTCTTGTCTTAACCATGCGGCTAGACTCTCAATAAAAGACGAAGACAGGTGTCCTTAGTACAACTGTTCCATGCACGTCATAGAACTAGCTTGGCAAGCACAGCAGCACACATACACACCCACAGCAGCAGCAGCAGCACGTCACACCGGTACCATCCGTCAGGGTACACTCTGCGACACACACACACACGCACGCGCGCGCGCGCGCCCGCACGCACACACAGCAGCAGCACATCGCAGGAACTAACCTGCTGCACTGCTTTCATCTTGGCCGTGTAGAGTAGTTTGAGTGCATCTTGGCCATTGTTTCTCTGCATATGCCTCAGCTTCAAAGCCCTGCACGGAACACATTCAGGAGTGCATCACGATAACATGATACACAATTCAACCAGGAAGACTGACTTGAGCAAGAAAGGAACAAGAACTAAGTGGATGATTTTACATCGTGATGACTTATTTATTTGTTCAGGGTGTGTGTGTGTGGGCGGGGGGGGGGAGGAGGAGGAGGAGGAGGAGGAGGAGGAGGAGGAGGAGGAGGAGGAGGAGGAGGAGGAGGAGGAGGAGGAGGAGGAGGAGGAGGGGTGACAAGACCATGTCTTTCCTCCTGTCGAAAGAACCTACTTGAGTTGCGTTTCCTTTTCCTTGCCAAGGCGGGCAGTCTCCTCAAAGATGCGCTGCTTGGACTCCTCGATCTGCTTTAGATTCATGTCATGCGTCAGCCTGCAATCAAACAGGACAAAGCCAAAGCCGAGATAGAACATTAGAAATAGAAACAGAACACGAAAAGGCTGAAACGAGGAGGGGACCCAGGCAAAAGTGAATCGCCATACACCGGCTTATTGGCACAAGAACAATCCCCATCTCCAATTCACACGAATGTTTGTTCACCTATATTTTGCCCTTTTTCTGCGTTTTTTCTCTTTTCTCCCTTTCTCTTCTGGTATCGTGTCTAAAGTGTCTAACATTGGGCATGGCCCAAGCGAAGGCTAGGCTCACGCCGATGCCAATGCGAAAGGGCTGATGATGATGATGATTCACATCGATTCACATCCCAGCTTACTTTTCGCCTGTCAAGATGACCTCCTCTTCTTTGGCAGTCTCCAGTGCCTTTGCAATTCTCTCAAATTCCTTTTGCTGCGGCACAAATCAGACAAAGGAGGATAAAGACAATCAGGAGCCTGGAGTAAAGTGACGGTTGTACAAAGCCATAGCCAGTACTTTCCTTCCTAGAATCCTCATAACTGTCTTCACTGATTCCAGGAGGAAATATAGCCACAGCAAAGTCACCAGATGCAAGACAAGCTTACAGATTCGACAAAGTGTTGTCCGCTCTCCTTGTGTAACTTCTGCAAGTGCTCCTGCTGCCGAGTGATTTTGTCCAGCTTGGCCGACCATTTGGAGTTCTGGGAAATTGCACCGCAGCAACACACGATGCACATGCACGTACAATATTCACACATACATGCGTGCACACACACACACACACACACACACGCACGCACGCACGCACGCACACACACACGCACACACACACACACACACACACACACACGCACACACGTGCAAGCACACAGTTACACACACATATGCACACGATTGCACAACTCTATCTCCAGTGCACGATAACGAGTGCACAACATCAGGCTTCAATGGGAGTTTCAGCCGCACAACTAAGCAGTTCTTCACCATAGCCCACTGTCCACTGATGGAGTTTTGGTATGCTTCAGTTCAAACAATAATGGAAAGCTCACCCAAGCTACTTGCAAGCTTGCATTGTTTTTTGAAGTTGAAATTGAAATTGACGATAAAGAGGTGACATGCCACTATACCACTCATCACTGCCCCATACCTGACCAGTGACCACCACCCCGGCCAAAGGTCCAAAGGTTGGACTACTATAGGAACATAATGATGTAGTACATTGCCCCTATGCGGAGTATAGTGTACACAGTGGATTTTGAACCTGTCACGTGACACAGTGCACTGCAGCACTCTTCAGGTCATGCTATTGCACCAGCACATGACGTGTTTGTACAAGGAGACATCACAAGCGCTCGCTTGCCAGTCTCCCACCAAATACAAAGCAAATGAATCATTGATGATGTCATTCTGATAAGCTCTACTAGTACAGGTGGAATCCTGATAATTCGAATATGGCTTAATTCGAACATACCGCTTAATTAGAAGTTTTTCCAGGATCGATTTCTGTCAATACGATTCCCACCTTAAAAAATTCTGATAATTCGAACCTCTAAACCGGACATGTACGATTAATTCGAAGTTCCACGGATTCCACTTACATAGAAAATGTGTGGGATTTGTGCTGATAATTCGAAGTTAGCAAAGTGTAATTCGAAGTTCACTGTACACTGTACTGATCAGTTCAGTTTGCTTGAGCAGGCTGTGCCGGTCAGTTCAATATCCGTGAAATCTGTGTCTAAGGTCCATAGCACAACTCTGCGTGACCCTGAGAGCATTTTGACATACATATTGTGGGGTCATGTTTGGATAATTAGAATGTCTGGATAATTAGAAGTTTTTCCTGGCATGTGGATGTTCGAATTATCAGGATTCCACCTGTACACGTATACTTTGGTAACCATGGTAGCAGTATCACTATTAGTCTCCAGCTAGGTCATCACATCAAGCATAGGAAGTACAGGAAGTACAGGAAGTATGTGATGCAGCAAAGAATAAGCACTACCTCGGCCAACACATCTTTCTGCTCTCCTCGCATTGCTTCCGATCTTCTCTCCAAATCCCTAAACACACATAGTAGTGAAGTGGCGCACATGTACACAGAAATACATACACACACAAACATGCATGTACTCCATCTCACACATACACACACGCGCGCACATGCACACACACACACACACACACACACACACACACACACACACGCACATATACACAAATGCACGTGTATGCACACACTCACACGCACGCACACGCACACACACACACACACACGCATGCGTACACACACACACACACACATACACACAACATGAAAATCAACAACAACCTTTGTGATTCAGCAGCATTCTGCAATGAATGGGTCATGCAGCACTGGCTGCTTGGGGATTGAAAGCAGAAAGATGTTGTTTTTCTGCTGTCATTGTGTGAGTTATTTGCGTTGCGATCTGGCACTCATTGTACGGACCGCTAGACGAGAGGCTAAAACACTGACATGCTAGCGCTGCCCGCTGCGATCACTCGCTCTCGCTACCGCACTCTCTCTTCTCTGGCGGAGCTTATTACCCCTACCTGCCGTACTGCTACATCTTCTACAGATTTAGTGCAGCTATGCCAGAACTTCATAGGGCACTCTACTACATTACTGGCTCACTATGATCTAGCTAAAGCAATAATCCTGCAGATAAATGTAGATGCCTCAGCAATTGGCTTAGTACTTCGATGTACATGTGGTGTGCCCAGTTTGCATATCGTGTATGTTTCCCTTGCTTCCCTACAGGCAGTCTTCACACCAGCTTTGCAGGCGAACATGTTCCACCATATCGTGGACATACAGCATACTCTTATATCAGCCATGCAAATGGATAACAGTGCATACATGTGGGTGTGTGTGTGTGTCGCGCGCATGCCTGCAGACCGTGCTCCCGTCCAGATTTTGTTTGGAAGGTTGAGTGGTCGTCGCCCTCCTCGTGGTCCCCGACGGCGCTGGAAAGACGTTGTCCAAAGAGACATGAAGGCAGCTGGCGTGGATTCCTGGTTTCAGAATGCCCAAGACCGGCAGAACTGGAGGATGTTCCTTGCTGAGCCACCACCGTACACAGATGATTCGCCACCTTTGCGCTGCTTGCTGTGTGCCAGAGACTTCCGCCGCCGTAACGACATGCCCCGACACAAGTGCATTGCCCAGCGGAAGTTGCCTGTGTCACAACAGAAGGGTGCCAGGCAATGTATGAAGTGCATGCGGTGGTTGAGGAGTGCTGGAGGACTGGCTGTGCATCGTTGTCCTGTGTCCACGGATGTCCCCACTGTATCTATTCGCCATGAATCTGACTCTTTTCGATGTGATGTTTGTCGCCGCTCTTTCCGCTCCCGTTCTGGTTTGAGCCGTCATCACTGTGACCGTGCGAAACGGATGTCACGTGCAGCCAGGAACAACTGCCGTCATGAATACGAGCATTGCGAAAGACGGTTCTCAAGGCCACAGGACTTGCAACGCCATGCCAAATATTGTTGACTTTGCGATTTCTCTCTCTTCTCTTCTCTCTTCTTGTCGTTGTCTCCCGCTTCTGGGAGCGGCGTGGCCCGATAGGGTAGCTGTACATAGTAGTAGTAGTAGTAGTAGTAGTAGTAGTAGTAGTAGTGTGTGTGTGTGTGTGTGTGTGTGCATGTGTGTGCACGTGTGTGTGTCTATGTGTACGTACATGTATGCGTGTGTGTGTGTGCGTACATGTATGTGTGTGCGTGTGTGTGCGTGTGTGCGCAGGTCTGAAGCTGCCACATCTCTCCAACGACGCTTGGGTCCATGGCGGAGCCGCGTGTTAGTGCCCTCCGCAAACAGGATCTGCTTTGGCAACCTGGTGTTGTCCATCCTTGCGAGGTGACCAAGCCATCGCAGGCGATTCGCACGAATGGCCTTCTCCAGCGAGGCTGGCATGCCGCTGCACTTCGCCAGGTCTTCACTTGACAGGTGTTCTTGCCACTGCTGGTCTCGGGTAACACTCAGGATCGTGCGAACACACTGTCGATGGAATGTGTCCAACCTGCGCAGGAGGGGTGCCTTCAGCGTCCATGTCTCAGAACCATACAGCAGCACTGTAAGGACCACGGCCTGGTAGACCTGACGTCGGATTCCAAGCGATAGACCCGAGTTCCGGAAAAATGGTTGGAGGAGGCTACCAAACGCCCTCGATGCCTTGGCGAGACGAGTTGTGACTTCGGCATCCAGCTCTCCATCGTCGCTGATCGTACTGCCGAGGTAGGTAAAATTGCTGACCACGCCGATCACGTCACCAGCACTCCCAGGCACCGCAATATCAGCACGGATGACACTCGGACCGACCGCCAAGAACTTCGTCTTCTGCACACTAACAGTCAGGCCCCAGCCTGACGCACACTGCGTAAATTCCTTCACCATCGTCTCCATGTGCTCGTACGAAGTGGTATACAGGGCAGCATCAGCCGCAAATAGCTACTCCGAGAGATGTGGCAGCTTCAGACCTGCGTGCGACCGGTATCCCGGAGGCGCAATGGTACCACCTTGCTCAGGACCGGAGGGACTGGCGCGAGCGTAGCCGTCGGAAGCCACCAAGCCAGCCCCAACCAAGAGTGTTCGTCTGTGTCTGCGGCCGCGACTTTCGCCGTCCGAATGATTTATCCCGACACAAGAACTACTGCCTCGCCTAATAGCTATCATCGCCTTCGGCGATGGGCTTTCCAAAGGTCCAAAGGTGTGTGTGTGTGTGTGTGTGTGTGTGTGTGTGTGTGTGTGTGTGTGTGTGTGTGTGTGTGTGTGTGTGTGTGTGTGTGTGTGTGTGTGTGTGTGTGTGTGTGTGTGTGCGTGCGTGGTACATACTTCTGTTCTTTCTGCAATGCTGCAATCTGACGTTGTATACTGGTGTGTTCAGAGCGGGCTTTCATTAGCGCATCCTACCAAACACAACAACAGCAGCAACAACCAGTACTGGGAAATAAAAGAACGAGACAAGAAAGGCAAAGAAACTGTAATCATCCCTCCAGTATAAACTATAAAGACAAGTGTGACTCAGGTATACTGTTCTTCAGACTCCTGGGATCAGAAGAAACCATTGTGCAACAGTACTTTGGACTATTGGAGAGAGAGAGAGAGAGAGAGAGAGAGAGAGAGAGAGAGAGAGAGAGAGAGAGAGAGAGAGAGAGAGAGAGAGAGAGAGAGAGAGAGAGAGAGAGAGAGAGAAAGAGAGAGAGAGAGAGAGAGAGAGAGAGAGAGAGAGAGAGAGAGAGAGAGAGAGAGAGAGAGAGAGAGAGAGAGAGAGAGAGAGAGAGAGAGAGAGCACCCATGTATGTACTATTCAATTTCATACCTTGACTTCAACCTGAGAATAGAGAGCTTTTTCCTACATGTAGAAAGAGAAGAAGCATACAAGACCACATGCTGAATCAGAATAACACATTTAGCCGAAATTGTTATACCAAGAAGTCGTCCCAATTTGCAGCCCACGCCAAAACATGGGGGCAGACAAGAGCTGCTATGGCCATTGTATTGCCAGTACTTCGAATTATATGTACATACACTAGTGTATATACATACACCAGTATGTGTTGGACATCCGTACATTCACGTACTTACCGCTGATGCTCTGGATGTTTCGATTGCCTTTTGATTTTTGGTCAACTCCTCTCTGAGAGTAGCAACACTCTCTCGTTCCTGCACGGCAACAAACCAACAACACATAAGAAGTTATATAATATCTATACCGTAAAGTACCGCGAGAGCGCCCACCTTGATTTCACAGCCAGGGAAAGGAAAATCGTTTGGTAGAGTGCAATGAAGTTTGTACAATGTGAAAGCCTTAGTGTACTAAGGTGACACTCAGCAGATTTTTGTGTGGAGCTCGTGTCCGCTCCAAGGTAAACTGAGTACGGATTGACTGCATAACATGCAAAGTGTGTACAAGGCTCGTGTCGTATGACCTACAGACAGGACACCACCTCCAAAATACGACCACGAAAGGACGAGGTGCTGGGGTACTCTCGTGGTACATGTACTGGCAGCCGCTGGCTGATAACCCATGCTTGCCTGCGAAAAGTTCACGTGATTGTTGCTGTATTCAAGGAAGAAACCTTGGTTACAGTAACCGACAAACACGTGCAGTATTGGCAAACCATGGTTAGCGAAACATTTATCAGAACGTGATCTGGCTCGCTTGGAGTAATGTTTCATTAGGCTGGGCGTACTTCTTAGCTACTGCAGCACAGCGTGCATGCACATGCCTTTTAAAGCTAGGAATTTATTACATGAAAAGAACAATAGAGTTTCACACAATATGGGGTGACCGTCATCATTTCGGGCATGATATAGCACTTTGGAGCGATGTTCAGAATTCACACTCCATGTTGCTTTCTGTGTGCTATTTGCAGTAGCAATACAAACACGCGCTGACACACGTATATACACATGCATGCGTGCACAGACACACAGACACACACACACACAGATACACACACACACACACAAACACGTATGGATGATTGCACACATGCACACACACACACAAACACTGAATCTCACCTTGTCTAGCTCAGTCTTCAGGCTACTTGTCTCCAGAGTTAGCGTATTCCGTCGAGCCCTCACTTCCTGTGCACAAGCCATGCAAACAGAGAGAAGGGTAGAACAGGACAATGAGAGAGACTGCGAGAGAGAGAGAGAGAGAGAGAGAGAGAGAGAGAGAGAGAGAGAGAGAGAGAGAGAGAGAGAGAGAGAGAGAGAGAGAGAGAGACTGCAAGAGACTACACGTGAAGAAGCAGAACACTGTGGCCAAGGAGTGTATTCTTCACAAAGTCCCATGTTGACAGAAAGGTGCAGCAAGTGTTACACCGACTGGTGTTTAAGAGACATGTATAAGGCGCTGTGCGACTCAGCACTGAGCACGACGGTGACAGAGCTGCCTGAGGCCCTGCAGCTGACGTGACTGGCAGGACAGGACCTGTTGGTAAGACTACTCTGGGACTGTGGGAGCCATGGAGCACAAACATTCGATCCAGTGATTACCCAACTCTAACACCTTCATCCAGTGTGACAATCTCCCTACTCTAACACCTTCATCCAGTGTGACGATCTCCCTACTCTAACACCTTCATCCAGTGTGACGATCTCCCTACGTTGGAAATGGTCAACAACACACGTGTACCCATAGAGCATGTTGCCAAGCAGGTCTTCGAAAGTGCAGGCAAGCATCCATAGAACATTGAAGCCAAACCAGGCTTTACATCCTCGACCCGACCCATACTACAATCCCAGCACAAACCTCAGAAGGTGAAGGCAACAGGATAACAGACAACAGCTCAACACCTTGACAAGTACTTACCAGTACGTTGCTGAGCAAAGCTCGATAAAGCGGCAGTAAATTTCCATTATTTTCAAGTCTCATGTTTGGCACGGTACACAGCCGTCGCCGCAAGACAGAATTTCCATTACAAGCAAGACCTTCCACTACAAGCAAGATCTGCCCAGGCTAACAGGAAAGTAAGAAGGGTATTGCACGCAATATTCCCACCTGCGGATCGGGCATTCGTTCCACTTCTTTCCTCATGTCGTCCACAGCTAATTTCTCCCTGGAAAAAAGGACACAAAGAAAATGGATTCCATGCAGTCGTGCTCCCATTCAATTCCTCCACGTCTCCAATCCTACAGTTTTCTCATTACTCTAGTTTCAGGGCAGCGGTATTCAGTTCCAAGTCCAAGTACATGTAGCAAATTCACAAAATTATGGGTAGGGGAGGGGAGAGAAATTACGATGACGATGATGGGGGGTGTTATGTCCCATCCTAGTCTACAAACAGCATTGTGCAAGCATACTTCTCCATGTTTTCCTCCAGCGTTTCTATCCGCTCCTCCGTCATCTTCAGTGTATTTCGGTGCTGCAGCAGACCAGAATGAAGGATTGAGATGGAAAAAAGAAATTTCACTGAAGAGCTACAACGCCGCTACTACAAGTGAGGTATTCATTGAGAGATCCACCCTGGCCCCATAGAGCTGCCCGACAGCATGAAGAAACAGCAGCTTACAGCAGCTTAAGTCCACGTGGGCACGAAGGACAAAATTGTAGTCAGCTAGCAGAGACCGTACTACTAAATTACACATGGTACTTTAACAGTATGTGCTACAGTACAACATCAGCTCTGTTGTGACACACATGCATAGAATCCAGTCTTTAAAATACTGCACATTCACTGAATGCCACTGGGCTAAAGAGTCAGCTACAACAACACCACCGGAGATGTCAACATACAGCGACTATACCTTTAATAGGAGCTGACGCAGTTGCCCAGCCTCCGATGTGTCCTCCGCAGGCAGGCACTCAACACCAGACAGCTGTGCCTCTGTAGATGTAAGGTTCTACAGACACAATACAGAGGAACACACGCACATGCACACACATACACACATACACACACATGCGTACACACGTGCGCACACACACACACACACACACACACACACACACACACACACACACACACACACAGCAACAGCACCCTTTTAATTATGGCAATACATAGTGGAACCGGCAACGGGATATCTCAGAATCCGAGAAAACGTCTAGGCAGCGCCACCTCTCCACATCTTCTCCGTTCGCCATCACCAGCAAACTAGAAATAGTTGGCAATCATACTAATACTTAAACTTACTAACACAACGAGAGATGAAGTCCGCACAGCCCGCACCCTATAGGTCTGAGATGATTGTGTGTACAACTGTACACTATAAGCTGGCTACATCAACTTGCCCCAGGAGTCATTGTATCTAGGAAGACCACACGGGCGAGTGGACTGTAAAGCGATGTGGGCTTTGTTTCTAGGCTGCCCGTTCCAGTCGCATGGACTTTTCAGGCAGAGACGATGTATGCACGCCCACATATGGCATCGCTGGTCTGGGCTGCGTTTGAGGACGGCAGGTCACATCCGAGATCGCGACATTAAGTAGAACACGGATCACATAGAACTTTCAGTACTGTGACATCATCACAATTCCTTCGATGCTATGGCTCCCTGACAGCACTGCAGAATCATGAGGACCAGGGGCTCGTCATGACGACGGCCTATCAAGGTCTGTGTTACTCCAGCAGTTGCTCTTGTACAGTGTACTGTAAACCGCCCAGTATCCGCGTCACTAAATTTTCGCGATTCCTTAGAACCAGCAAGTTTGCGATGGCAAAAGTTCGCGAAGCACCGGAGCCACCTACATACAACCACTGTCGAAGCTTGACTTCACGTTGGTTAATTTTCGCGTTACGCTCTTCTCACAAAAATAGCGAACATTAGTCCGTCGCGAATAATACGCAGTTTACAGTTTACGAACAAAACACCAGTAGTCCATGTTATGTATGCAAGTACCTGGAGAAAGTACAACTACCTACACATGTATACGTACATGTGTCAGCTGTTTCGCCTTCTCCATAAGATCCAGCTCAGACTTCCTCGTTCTACAAAACAAATACGAACACACGCACACGCGCGCATGCACACACACGCACATGCACACACACACACACACACTACTACTACTACTACTATGTACAGCTACCCTATCGGGCCACGCCGCTCCCAGAAGCGGGAGACAACGACAAGAAGAGAGAAGAGAAGAGAGAGAAATCGCAAAGTCAACAATATTTGGCATGGCGTTGCAAGTCCTGTGGCCTTGAGAACCGTCTTTCGCAATGCTCGCATTCATGACGGCAGTTGTTCCTGGCTGCACGTGACATCCGTTTCGCACGGTCACAGTGATGACGGCTCAAACCAGAACGAGAGCGGAAAGAGCGGCGACAAACATCACATCGCAAAGAGTCAGATTCATGGCGAATGGATACAGTGGGGACATCCGTGGACACAGGACAGCGATGCACAGCCACACACACACACACACACACACACACACACACACACACACACGCACACAGACACGCACGCGCATCCCCCCCCCCCCACACACACACGCGCGCACACGCACACACACGCACACACACACACACACACACACACATACACACACACACACACAAATAATAATAACACAGGTATCGCGCTGACTGCTCACATCCTTAGACCATGGTCATCAGCCACATGAAGCCAAAGCAGGATTCTGGCCAAGCGACCGCTGTCCCTTGCCACTAGTAGTGAGTGAGTGCACGTGCAAGTGGATAATTATCTATCTTTTTAGACTCTGTTTCTTGACTCATTGTATGACTGAGAAGATTTTCCCTTCAGGATTCAATAAGTTGCGTGATATGCCAAGACAGCACGTACCGCATCAGAACATCGACTAGCTGCGTGAAGGAATCCTTGAAACAAGCAAGCTGCTTTCCGGATATTGAGCCATCGGCAAAGCGCTGATATCAAAAGAAACACAAAACAGAATAGGCATAGCCATAGCTTTGCTTTAAACGGTGCAAGTGCAAATATAGAACAAGCTGAAGACTCTACCCTGTCTCTTCCAATCTTGCTGTCTATTGATGGCGGGTGTATGGCGGGTGTATGGCGGGTGTATGGCGGGTGTTGCAGGAAGACCTAGTCACTGTACTGCTACGTTTCCGATGCCAACAACATGCTATATCGTGCAGAAAGTCACCCCCAGTGACCATACCCCAGCCTTCCCCGCTATGCCCCTGACTACTATACTGTCTGGTTAGTAGTACTAGCGACCATCTCTCCACTCCAGTACCGAGTCCCCTACGCTGAGCACACACTAATAGAAAATCAAGCAACAGCAGCAACAGCAGCAGCAGCAGCAGCAGCAGCAGCAGCAGTGGAAACATCAGATAAGAGTCGATACCTACTCACCTCCTCAAGCACCTGCAGTGCTGAGCGCATCTCCGCCTCGTCCACAGGTAGCTGCTTATCCACTTTCTCCGGTGAGCCCTCATCATCTTCATCAGCGCTGCCCGATTCCAGTACAGGACTTGTGGAAGCTTCTTCCTCACTGTCATCCTCCACCAACTCCATATCAGGAGACGAATCACCTCTCTGATCGCTCATTGCACTTGTTCCCAAGTCAATCCCGACCAAACCTTGCTTGCTGGCAATGTTGCTCTGTGCACGGTGTGAGCTGTACACTTATTTCTACGCTCACTCTCTCTCTGTTGTTGTCGCACTGAACTATGCTACAATGCTGTTTGAAACACTGGATAGTCAGCTACATGTATATGGAGATATACGCCTCACACCCACTGTAACACTCTTGTGTTGCAAGTCTAGCATACAACACACAATGTCGTAGATCATCAATCATAGAGTCGTGCTAGTAATCATGGACAACTTTGGACTGTTGCGAAGCTTACTGCGGACTCCCGGTAATCACGAGTAATTTTCAGCCAGAGACCTGGACCGGGTTGCCAAAACACTACACTTCAATCACTTGGGGATCCACGTCCATTCGACGACTGAGTTGTGCTGATTTCACACAAACCTCAGCAAAATACCGTCCTCCCTGGTATGACTATACCAACGTAGTACAACAGCAACCATGACCGTTTTAGCAACAAGTTTAGATCCACAGCTTGAAGCCTTGGGAGCTGGGGCCTACCGGTAACAAGAAGGAAGCACCAAGTAATTAGTTACTTTTGAGACGCAACATCGCCAGCAGGATTTTGTCCTGTCTTCACCAAGATTCAAGAATGGCACGATTCAAGGAAATGTTTTGTATGTCACTATGACTATGTGTAGTCTGGTACATGATACGCTTGTTTCAAGCGTCCTAGAAACCCACCTGTTGCTAGGATCAGTCGCGATGCAGTTGTCATGGATCACGTGCATCCAAAACACGTGCATGAACAGTGCGAGTGAACATTATGAAATCAGGAACCAGAAATTATGGGAAAGCATCATCAGCCATTCAAAAATAATAACCCATCTAATAATATCTCTGCTTTCTCTTCCTGAACTAAATACGTGTGCAAGTAGCTGGCACAGAGCATTCACTTATTCGTAAATACTCGGCTAGTTTCTACCTCTTGCAGACTGAGAGCTGTGTAGTGTGTTCAGGATGGCTTGAATTCCCTCAGTTAGTCGTGGATCAGCTGACAACTCATACGAACTTCTGCCAATTGACCAACCATGGCGTTCAGGAAAACTTTTCAGATTGCTGAGAAGACTTTCATTCAAAGCTTTCCCAATCATATGGCCAAAGGTAAGGAGGGTGAGGTTATAGTTGAACTAACCACTTGGGGATCAGAAACGTTTAACACATGTATATTTCTAGTCGAACACAATCCTATCTACTATCAAGAGTTCATAACCCAGTTCTGTTGGTCGCCGTCTCTTTAAAGGCTTTAGAGTGCTCAGCTCTTTCTCAAACCGTCTGCATTCGCCACAAAGAACAACTGATGAGACACACGTCTCCATTGGCGCACTGTGGCCCAGTTGGAATAGAACTTTACATCCGGATGCGTCTACTCTCGCCAGCGGAAAACTGCACCGACGCAACTTTGCTGGCTGGAATTGGATGTGCGGTGCAAACCTCTTATCATATTCAACTATTCCGGGGCAAAATTTTAGTTGACAATAGTCATGACTCAACATCCGGTGCAGGAATGGAGTCAATTCCGCCAAGCTAGGTGGGCAATGTCCATGCTCAACAACTTCGCCACAGAGTACTTCGAAAGTGAATTGCCCATCACTCTTAATCAGCAAACGGGTCAAAGGTGTGGGGGTGTCCTCGTTTCTAGACAGATGGACAGCTCGATGAGACCGCACTTCTGTGACAACCTCCGACTCGGTCGAAAGAAACCCAACATGAAGTTCGGAGTACTTCGATCCTAGCTGCTCTATGAACGACTTCACAGCCTCCTCGGAAACGTGATAGTTAAACAAAGTAGCCTCACTGCTCGATGTGGAAATTTGGATGAAGAAACGCGTCGGACGTCGGTCCTCGTTTAGGAGGCATTGGCAACAGATATATACCAACCAAGTAAGCTAATTTCAAGGTCTGGGAGCTACTAAGAACACTATCAACAACACTACTGGGAGCAAACAAACAGCTTCTTTGGCCCTCTGAACCAGGAAGTTCATACTTCAAAGTTTCTTTACTCCGGTGCTTGGAACCAGGGAGTAGTACAATGGTATCAAGAGTCCATAACCCCAGGCGAAAGGGCGGCTTTGGGTATACGGATTACGGGTTCATACACACTTTGGTGGTTCGCGGCAAAGTTCAAGGCATAAAATCATGTTCGTCTCGAGTGAATTTGACATAAAACCCAGGGCAAAGCAGAAAATCTTCAAGCGCAACGAACGTGTACGTCATTTTTGACGTAATGTTGGAAATCCGCCGTGCGGATCCCCATGTACAGAGTTGTACACTCTTGGGGTTATGGACTCTTGCTACTATTTGTACTTCATACTACTTACTGTTAGTAGTACAGTGTACAGACCTACTTCTCCTTCACGTACACACGGACGTGTATGCAGTTCATTTCATGCACGAGCTAGCTGTGCACTTCATGTACAATATCATCGATGCCGGGTAACCAAGGTACTAATACATTAACCAGATAAGTGAGGTCCAATAAGTAAGATTGGACTGCGCACGCTGACCACGACAACACACATGTGCTGTAACTATTTTCAAAGCACTGTGCGCATCATCCGACAACAGTAACGATAATGAAATGCGTGCATGCGATTATTATGCTGACAGGGTCAAGCGCAAGCGTAGGCATATACATGTACATGTATCTCATTTGGGTACTGTTGTCCGATGATTCACGTGGTGCAATCAAACTTGGAGTTACAGCCCAAAGCAGCCGTCTCGTCGTTTTCAACTTGTGTTGGAAGGTTTACCTTGCGGGTGTAGAGTACAGAGCAGTGGCAGATCCGGGGTGAAGTCTACTCCGGCATGCACTGGCTGTTGGTAACCACCCAGGAGAATGAAAGAAAAGTCAGGAGGAGTCTGAGAAAGAGAAGAAAGACGTGTGTGACCATAATCGTCGGGAATCGAACCCGCAACCTATCGATTGGAAATCGCTGCACATACCACTGCACCATATGGGACATAAAACACACACCCCCCCCCCCCCCCCACACACACACGTGCGCGTTAATACTGCGCAAATGTAGTCGCTTGCTTTATGCAGAACTTCACAGGCAGTGGGGTATGACTGACACACTGGCTGCAAGCTTCCTCGCTCTCAGACCCCATGTGTGTTAGGTGCGAGGAGGTAGCCTCTTGCGCCTCTCCCTGGATCTACCACTGTAGAGATAGATGTACACCAATTGGTAAGATAAAGAGAGGAGATATTAAAGATGGCTCTGGTGTTTTAATGACTTCTGTCATAGGGTGGCTCCGTGAACAGTGGAAAGACGGAAATTTGAACCATAATTACAGTCAACTTCGCTTATAACGACACTCGGCGCGGCATCAAAAAGGTGTCCTTATTCGCGAAGTGTCGTTATACCCGAAGTCTCATCATTTATAATATGTATTACAGTGGGATGGGACTTTGCTCTGGGCATGGAAATTCTGTCGTTATTCGCGAATTGTCGTTATATCCGCAGTCGTTATTAGCGAAGTTGACTGTATAGGAAAGAGAGAAGGTTCCGGTTGGAATATGTCAAAACTCTGAGTTTCACGCCGCGCCGAGGCAATCATCAGACAGCTGATTTTTGGGCTAATCATTATACTTCTTGTCATGTGTGAATCTTGGCGCTGAATAGTCTGGTGGTGGGGACTTTGAGTAGATCAGTGTGTGTGTGTGGAGGGGGGGGGGGGGGGGGGGGGAGGGGGTGTGCTGAGCACTGACGCGTGATGATTGCCTTGGCATGAAACCCTGACTAACTGAGTTACGACATATTTCAATCGGAGTCCTCTCTTTTACATATGAAAAGCTCTGCCCTCTGCCCATTGAGCAGTTTTCCAGACCTTTTTTGTGCGGATCATAATTATGCTCATTCCTTGCCTATTTTCCTATTTGTTGTTCTGCCCAGGTTTGCTAGTACTGCAGCATCGATCTCCACACATTGATGGAGTGTTCCTGGTGCATGATGCTAGGGTATCCTCTTATGAAAGCATAGGCCGTTATATTCAGGATGCTGATTATGTTCTGAACAGATTCATGCCTTTGCAATATCAAGTAGGCGATCATGAGACATCAGCTGATCGCCTACTTGTGCATGAAACTCAGAGTCACAGCACTTTCTTCCTCCTTGTGTTGTTGTATTAAAAGGGTCGTCGCAAAAGGGTTTTTTTGTCGTCCCCGAAACGCACATCGTTCATTTCGTACTCGGACCCCCTCCCCTCCCTCTGAAATGAACGCAGCTTGCTATGCTGGACGACAAAAATCGCATGCATGTACAGTGTACGGTGTTGATCGACTAGCGGGTTTGGCTCGCACCCCCTCCCCCCCGAATGATGTTCGTTTCAGGGACGACAAAACTTTTGCGACAACCCCTAAGTAGCTCTGCCCTTGGGTATGGAGCACTCTGTTGGACAGCCTGGAACCTTTCTGTTTAAAAAAATAAATATTGCTAGGATGTCCTGAACCTGGCTCTCCCTATGTAGTGCTTGTATGTCCTTAACCTGGCTCTCCCCTCTCACCACTTAGATCCCATTGTCTGGGTACAGTGACAATGTGTTCAACTGTCTTCAGGGTATGCCACTGCTCCTGATCTTGAACAAGGCTGACTTGGTGCCAAGAGAGCACCTTCAGGTATGGCAGTGCTTACATGATAGTTGGACCTGTTCCCAAATTGTACACATTCAAACCGGAGGCTCCCTGGATTTAGGCCGAGGCCTGTGGAAAATCCGTAAATACGAAATACGCAAGAGGTTGTTGTGGAATTATCCACCACCAGACCAGCGCAAGGATATAAGTTGGACTATAATTATTAATTTCAATTCAAGAAAAAAGCACGACCTCGACCAGGCCAGAAGCAAGAAGAACTGAACACAAGATATTGAAAACCCTTCTCCTCAACAAGCTGCATCACGTACAACGGAAAACAACTGGCTGCACCAGCGCGTGCATCAGCGCGTGCACCAGCGCGTGTACCAGCACTGCACCAACGTGTGCACCAGCGAAATCAATATCGAAAGTACGTATCAATCATTACATTACGTACAACATGCGCAAGAGGGTTACTCTACTTCACCTCTCCCCCTGGTGGTATGCCAAAGAAAATACCACCACAAAAACTAAATAGCGCCACAAAGCAAAACTAACGGAAGCGCTGAGGGGGTGCAAGCGAACCACGCTGACGGAGGCCATATGGGCGAAACTGATACGGAGCAGGATCATCGGCAGGGGTTCGAAGCGGCACATAATTAGGATCACGGGGATCAAACCGAGACCCAGCATCAGGGACAGCACCCGCAGCCGGCACATCAACAACAGCATCTGCAGCAGGCACATCAGCAACAGCATCTGCAGCAGGCACATCAGCAACAGCATCCGCAGCAGGCACATCAGCAACAGCATCTGCAGCAGGCACATCAGCAACAGCATCCGCAGCAGGCACATCAACAAACACCTCAGCACCAACATCAGGCTTCAGCAGTTCAACATTCACCACTTTCTCACCACCACCAGCCTCATTGCGAATTACCACAGTAGAGGGGGACACAATGTGAATGACCACCCAGTCACGCTCATAGGGCGGCTCACATTTCTGGCGACGATGGGAACGACGTAGAAGAACGGCATCACCAACGGCGAACAGACAGTTATCATCGTCAGACTCAACAAAGTCCTTGGAGGACAGCTCAGCTTCCACAAAATCACGGATCCGGGCAGCCTGGCGTTCAAGATCAGATGGAGTCCGGCCCAGCCCAGGATTAGCCGAGAAGAGCACACTGGTGGGCTCCCAGCCAAGCATCGCACGCATAGGAGAAATCTTGAGGACAGAGTGCGGACGAATACGGTAGAAATACAATAACACGTCCAGCTCAGATCGCCAATCATCAGCCTCATCCAAAACCTTCCGAATTAGGGTGAGGAGAGTGCGGTTAAATCGCTCAACAGATCCCTGTGATTGGGGATGACGCACGGCACCGTTGAGCACTGTCACACCAAACGTGTCAAACAGCGATGACATCACGGCGTTGATGAATTCCGTGCCATTATCACAGCGGACCACTCGGGGCGGGCCCCACCGCGTACACAGGCCGACAAATGCCTCGGCCACTGATGCCGCGTCATGTTGACGGAGCGGAACCACCTCCACCCACTTGGTGAAACTATCCATGCAGACGAGAACACAATGGTACTCTCCACTCTGATCGACGCCCAGTTCCAGAGTATCAATTACTACAACACTCCATGGGCCATCAGCCACCACAGGGCGACTGGCCTCCGCCGAAACGCCCTTGGTTGGGCTGGCAGCAGCACACGGCGAACAGTGGCGCACAAACTGCTGACATTGGGCAGCCATGTTCGGGAAATAGCACTTCGAGCGGAGGAAGCGCCATGTACCCTCCCAAGACGCATGACCACAGTTCACATGAGCAGCACGAACGACATCGGACTCGAGTGAACTAGGAATAACAGGAATGACGACTGCATCATTGGGCGGCAACTTCACACTTCGACACAGCATACCATCATGGACTACGAGCTGTGACTTGACCTTGACAAACGCAGGATCAGTAACTGGGTCACCATCGATGACTTTCTGGCGAGTCGAAACAATCCGAGGATCTGCATTCTGAGCAGCAGATACTCTGTCCAATGAGAATGGACCAACGGTCACCACCGCAGCGGTGACGGACGGTGCAGTCCGAGCAAGGAGCGTCTTGCCACATCGGATCCAGCTGCTGGGAACACGGGTCAATTGATCCGCCTTGTTCTGCTGACTGCTGATCCACTGGACCTTGACCGTCAAGCCCGTGACAGCGACGAGATCAGTGATAATCTGGAGACGGCGCTGCACAAGTACCTGCTGCAGGCCGCTGACGCGAACACGAGACACATTGCCAAGCACCGATTGCAACCAAGCAGCCACAGTCTTGGAATCGGTGAATAGCGTGAGCTCCTTCACTTGCCACTGCACGGCAAGGTTCAATCCCTTGATCACGGCGTCAAGCTCAGCGATGTTAATGTGTCGCCGGTCGTCCTTCTGCCGCAGCCAGCAGCCATCCTCGACGATCATACCATCGGCCTGAATGACAGCACCATGTGCGATGTCCGAAGCATCACACCACAACGACCACTGTGCGCCTTCAGGAACTGACCACACACCTTGCGCAGGGTCATCGGTCTGCAGACGGTGAATGACTTCCGCACAACAAGCGACGACTTCATGAGACACTGGATCATCCCATCCAGGCTGAAGGCTAGACAGACGCTTCAGATAACTGCACGCTGGGCGCAGCCAGGAGCCGACGGGATAGTGGCTGGTCAGCTTGCCACACCACTTGAAAATCTCGCGTCGTGTGATGGCATCGGGCTGACAGGTCGGCATGACGTCACCACGACGCTTCCACCTCACTTGGCCATCTGCAGACTCTGACAGCTGCAGACCAAGTACCCTAGCAGAGACGACTGGCTCCGCTGGCTTGGTGGGCAACCCGTACTGCGACAACTGATCGGTGACAGCACGCAGACGAGGCTTCGGAACATACAAATCGTCGACATAGTTGTCCACATCAGCATACGCACGGAGGACCCACTTGACGATTATGTCCATGAATTTGGGCGCAATCGATAGACCGAAGCCCATCCTCTCCATTGCAAACAGCTGGCCCTTCCAGACGACCGTTTGGAACTTGGCGAGAGCTGGCGCGATGCGGATGTTGAGGTAAGCCTTGCTGATGTCCAGCAACACGTGGCTGTCGGCGTTGCCAATAGACCTCCACTGACGCAACTTCTCTTGGCAAACAGGCACGTCCAAACCTGGATGCGACACAATCAACTTGTTGAGTTGCCGGTAGTCCAAACACGGGCGGACAGGGGTGGACTCCTTGTGCGTCTGGGCCACCGCCAACAAGGGCAACACAGCACTAGGCTCACCATGGACTGCTTGGTCATGGGGTACCAACCATCCATTGCGGATCCACATGTCCACTTCCTCGCAGAACTGTGACTCCTGGTCTGTTGACAGGCTATGCCGGGAATATTCACCAATGCCTGACCCGACTGGACACGTGGGGGGTTCGTCTTTCCATGCCCACGTAAGCTCCCAGTAGCCAACATCAGCGCGCCAACGAACTGACCCATCCGCAGTGGTCAGAATGACATCTTCCCCGTCATGCTCCACGGTAACATGGCGTAGCAGCTGAGGCGAATCACCATCATCACTGCGCACGTCCGAACTGGGCACATCTGCGGAAGCTGAAGCTGCTTGACCGAAAGATGCTCCGACGAGCTTGGAGTCCGCGTACTTGAGGTCGACTCCGCCATGCTGCGATATCAGGTTGAGGCCCAGAAGCACATCCGCATTCACAACACTCAACTCCGGAACAATTGATACAGACACAGACGAGAAAGGCAGAAATACCGTATCGTCCACCCGCTCGACATCCAGAACAGCCGAGCCCAATACCTTGAGTGTATTGCCGTCAACGGTGATGATATCAGGCGTTGACGTCGTCACCTCCAGTGCCAAGTCCTCTGCCAACTGACGAGACACCAACGTGTGTGTTGAGCACGAGTCGATGGCAGCAACACAACGCCGAAACGCCACCGCATCACAACGCTTCACAGGCAAGAAGATCCGTGGCAACGCTACTGCGGGCCCATCAATCTCCGACGCGACGCAGACATGGCCGACATCCTCACTCGCAGCTGCTCCAGCACACCTCTTCCGCTGGGGGCACGCACTGCGGACGTGGCCTCGCTCCTTGCAACCATAGCAAACAGGTTCGCCGGATGCTGGTGACTTAGGTAGCTGCGGGCAATTCCGCTGAATATGGCCGACCTTATTACACCGGTAACACAACACAGACCGCTTGCTAGGTCCGCTGCTACTAGACGACGTCGCTGCAAATGTCGCAGAACGTGCACCCTGTACTGGTGCAGCCGACACCTGGGTTGCAGAAACCAACACGCGAACTTGATCCGCACACTGATCCACAGTCATACAGTGCAAGGCATGCTGGAGGCGCACCTGACATGCCAGCACCTGCGGAATGCCGAGCAGAAACTGCTCCAGGAGCACTGGGTCACATGACTTCCCTGACGAAGTGTCACGCGCTTCCACATGACCACTCTGGCGGAGAAACCTCCTCAAGTCGGCCAAGTAGACGTCAACGCTCTCTCCCCGACGAAGAGTTCTGGCCACAAACTTCTTATACGCCTCTGCTGGCGTGATGCAGAAAGCGGCTCGGAGCGCACCATGGACAACCTCCTCACTGGTCTGCTCGACGTCCGGCAGCGAACTCCAAACAGTGAACGCGTCCTTGTCTAGGAATAAAGGAAAGTGGTCCATTCTTTTAGCTTCCGACGTCCATTTCTGTATCCGTGACACCACGCGGAATTTCAGCAAGAACACTTCCAGGTCGTCATCTCCTCCACGATACGGCCGCAACAAGGAATGTCCAGCAGACGACGCCATTACTACTGAAACAGGCAGTGAAATAACAAAATTAATACTCTCCGAGAACCTAACCACAAAGCGCCAACGGTCCACTCAAAACCGGGTTTCGGTACCACGTTGTTGTGGAATTATCCACCACCAGACCAGCGCAAGGATATAAGTTGGACTATAATTATTAATTTCAATTCAAGAAAAAAGCACGACCTCGACCAGGCCAGAAGCAAGAAGAACTGAACACAAGATATTGAAAACCCTTCTCCTCAACAAGCTGCATCACGTACAACGGAAAACAACTGGCTGCACCAGCGCGTGCATCAGCGCGTGCACCAGCGCGTGTACCAGCACTGCACCAACGTGTGCACCAGCGAAATCAATATCGAAAGTACGTATCAATCATTACATTACGTACAACATGCGCAAGAGGGTTACTCTACTTCAAGGTACACAAAAGGAAGTAAATAGGGCTGTTTTTTTGTTGTTACTTAGAGTTTCATGGCAAAAACCAATCATCATCATCAGCCCTATTTACTTCCTTTTGTGTACCTCTTGCGTACTACGCTCTGCCCATTCCGGGCATTTGAGCACTATTGCAGGTTAAGGCACACTGCCTCCTTGTAAATACGAAATACAAATGCAAAACTGGCACAATGTTTTTATGAGCCCAGAGGGTCAATTCTGTTCCCTTAGGCCCTCTTCAGACTAGGTACAAAACAGCCTATAAGTCACATTTACGTAGAAGTTTCCAAGACAACAATAAGGCCGCATTCACACTACGCAAAAGCAACTGCCTGCAAAAGTATGTTGAAGGCGACTTGAAAAAAAATCTGTTCACACACGATATGCGATGCGCGTCACGTGATGCACTTTTTACGTTCGCCCTGACGAGTGTGTCATACTCCACATTTTCTGGCGATCTGAATACACATCAAATTTTCGTTGATCGCTCTCAATTTGCCGTGGTGATATTGCAAGGAAATCCTTCTTTGCTGACATGGATCGCCATGCCCGTGACAGACATTGGCAGATAGTTGCCACAGCTCTTGCCATTTCTCCTTCTTTTTTCCTATACATGTATCTCTTGTAGTGATCGCGGGCCTTCGTTTTCAAATTATCCACCTTGATGTGCACACTCGCCGCCGTGAACATGACAGCCTTGACGCCGACGTGCTGGACGTAGTCATTGAGTTTGGATGCGATCTGACGCTCTGCGACAGATCGCTTCATCGTAGTGCCACTTTTCGTTCGCTGGTATTCGCCCCAGAGCTCAATGAGCCGACACTCCAGATCGCCGGTGAACAGAACCTTTGGCATTTTGAAAATACTCTAGAACCAGTGGAAGAAAAATACAGTTTTATGCTGTCGACTTCTGCTTGAAAGAAAAAGTTGCCTTGTACAGGGGTGCCGGAGTTGCAGAAACCTTTCAGGTAACTTTTATAGTTTCGCGCCAAATTACCTAGGTTACCAAGGAGAATGGCCTGAAAAATGGTCTATAACGCACTTTTTCAAGTACAGTCAGACCTCGCTTATCCGGTCCTCTTTTATCCGGATCCCTCGCCATCCGGAAGAAAATCGTTGGTTACCGATTTACAGCATATGCCATGCATACATACAGTATGCGTGTTCGGTTATCTGGTTCCCTCGCCTATCCGGATATTTTTGTGGAAAACGGATGTGTGCGGTTAAGCGAGGTCTGACTGTAGTGTGAATGCGGCCTAAGAATCTGGCGGGAAGCCTAAAAAGTTGCCCAATCCTTTCAGGCAGGGTGCGAACCCTTGTACAAGGCAACTTTCCTGCATTTATCGTACTTTCTCATCAGGTAGTTGTACAAACGTACAGACTTTGAACCCGGGTACGACTGCCGGCTGCTTTCACACATCCCAGGTCCACTGCGCAATAGCGTAGGGTCGAAGGTTGCCTGTATATTGCATGTAAAATGTGTAGTCTGAATGCAGGCTTGGAAAAATGTTGCCTTTTAGGTGTTATGTGATTTTGTACTGGATGTTCTATGTACGTAGTCTGCAGAGGGCCTTAGGCTGCAACCACACTAGGTACAAAATCACGTACAAACGGCATTACAGTAGAAATCGTCATGCTGACGCGTGCGAAATGCAAAATGCGCTTTGTAGGTTTTCAGCAACTGGCGCACCCCTGTAGAAAGCCACGTTTGTCGTTTTCGTCGTTTTCGCGCTCCTTCTCCTGTGTACAACTTTCCTTTTGTACCGGGTCATCGTACATAGCATCAGCATCAGCATTGGTTTTGAATTTCCCGGTCTTTTCCAGCGCATGGCACACGCCACACGCTTTGGTACGACAACGTCACGTGCTGGTCGTGTGAAAACGTCATCTATGCAGACCGAAAAGTGTAGTGTGGTTGCGTACCGACTTGTACTGAGATATGCATGACAATTTGTACTGTGATTTTTACGTAGTGTGGTTGCGGCCTTAGTTCCACGCCTGCATTCAGACTACACATTTTACATGCAACATACAGGCAACCGTTGACCCTACACAATTGCGCAAGGGGCCTGGGATGTGTGAAAGTAGCCGGCAGTCGTACAAAGTTTGTACATTTGTACGACTGCCTTGTGAAAGTACGATAAATGCAGGAAAGTTGCCTTGTACAAGGCTTGTCAAGGGTTCCCGCCCTGCCCGAAAGGATTGGGCAGGTTTTTAGGCTTGCCGCCAGATTCGTGTAGTTGTCTTGGAAACTTCTATGTTAATGTGGCTTATAGGCTGTTTTGTACCTAGTCTGAAGAGGGCCTTATGTCTATGTGTGTATCTTACAGTCTTAGTTTCTGTTCTTTCTTTTTATGAACAGAAGACTAGCAGAAGTGAAGAGCCGTGTAATGTGTATGCATACTATAGTGTAATGTGTATGCATACATGCACTATATCTGCAGAATCCAATAAAGTGACGATACTGAGAACCTATATGACTGAACAGAAGTAGCGATGTTGTGGGCATGTTACGTTACTGCTGAACCCCGGCTTCAATCAGAGCCGGGTTTCAAATTCCCATAGCAGGGTACTACTAGTAATAATAATAATAATAATAATAATAATAATAATACCACAGCACGCGTACAAAGGCCAAAGAACAATGCATGAGAATACACTGAAATTAAGCCAAGTCCGCTTCTGTCTCCAGTCAACAAAAAACTCATCCATAAACAATGTCTGATCTCCATTTCGACTTGTCTGCAGCAAATGCTCGTGCTCCTTCTAGGTCGCTGGCATTCTTCAAAGGAATGTCGTGCCCTGCCAGGTCCTTCATGATGGTGGTAGGGAGAGTAGCCGCGGGACAGCCCCTTCGTCCACGTGACCCCGCTTGAAAATAGCAGGACATCGCAAGGCAAGGGGGTGACTACTACTAGTAGTAATCTGATAATGGAAGGTCCATTGAACACCATGCAGGCAGAGTACAGTGTCCCGAAACCTGTGTGTATCTACTTTTGTAGGGTACCACTTCTGTATGTGTTATACAATGTAGTCCTGCCGCCATGTATTGTATCTCTCTCTCTCTCTCTCTCTCTCTCTCTCTCTCTCTCTCTCTCTCTCTCTCTCTCTCTCTCTCTTCTTTTCTCTTGTCTTCTCTTGTCTTCTCTTTTTATTTGCTGTTGCGTTTGTGTATAGCTTGCTATGGAGGTATTGGAGACTCGTTTGCCGGATGTGCCAGTCATGACTAGTGTTGTCAGTCAGCAGCACAGAGGTGGTGATAAATATGCCAAAGATGTAAGTGCTGTACGACATGTACTTGAGAGTATTGTTACCGGTATGGTAATTATTTTTACGAGAAGTAGAAGTAGAAATCAAGTCAACTGCTAGCATTATACAAGCCATGTGTGTGATAATAATTACTTGTATCCAATGCTTCTCGCACCATCTTGCAAGTAGATATTGCTAGACCTCTGCGATCATTGGGTAGTAAGTAGCTCTGCCCTTGGGCATCAAGCAATATGCTCGTATTTCCTTAACCTGGCTCTCCCCTCTCACCTCTTATATCCCATTGTCTGGGTACAGTGACAATGTGTTCAACTGTCTTCAAGGTATGCCACTGCTCCTGATCTTGAACAAGGCTGACTTGGTGGCGCGGTTTTCCTGCCGACTTGAATTCTCACTTGACGGACTCACGACTGCCATCCAGAGCACACAAGAAGTCCATTGAACCATCCACTCAGCAAGCCTGCAAGAAAGCACCACTCTCGAGTGAGAGTTTAAGCCGGCAGGAAAACCGCGAGCTCCCATGTAGGGAGCAACACACAATTCCCCAAGTATCGCCGAAGTTGCACCAACCTCTTCTTCACACAGGTCTTTTATCTGCTAAAAAAATAAACCTGAACGTCAAAAGGCATGAGGGCAAAGGCAGTGAAGTTTATCGTTGGCCTTGCCATTACTGCAATTTACTGGCCATTAGTTTGCCACCTGCATCAGCATTTCTGCTGAAAAGGCACCAGTACATTTAGATCATGTTTTGCTCTGCAGGCCTAACTTGTACTGTTAAATCCATAAAATCACCTGACACTTTATTCAGTCTCTGTGGCTACACATATTATTATACTTTAGTCCATTCGCCAAATCGGGGTGCCTGATACACTAAAACTATGTGAAAAGACCATACTTTGTGGAGCTCATATAGCGCCAAAGCCAGTCCTGTGTGGTGCACAATAGGTTGTTAGCGATATGTAGAGCATGTGACCATCACGTACCGTATTATCTCTAGTATAAGCACGGTCCTTTATTTTTTCAATTTACCTCCGCCCCGTGCTATTAATGGAGACGTTCCTTTATTGGAGACTGTTCCATTATTATTTCAACCTCATTTCAGAGGCATGTCAGACACACACATTTCAGGGTTTTTTCGCCGGTACTGCATTTCAGAGATAATACGAGTACATGCATTTTACCAGGTACCGATAGACACTGACAGTGTGCTTATAATGTGGAGACTGAGCACTTTATTTTTTGAATGCCGCTCCAAGGTGTTCTATTATTGGAGACGTGCTATTATTGGAGACTGTGCTTATATTAGAGGTAATACGGTAGTACGTTGAAACAACTTAGTACGTTGAAACCACGAGAAAATCCCGCAAGAAACCCCACGTGGTGGGCGTTGTGGCAAGGTTGTGTCTTCGTCGAGTGAAAAATGGCAGAGGAAGGAAAGTCCTCTGACCGAACCTGCCAAGAGTGTTTTTGCTGATGTAAACTGCTTTGAGAACAAATTCTGGCACAGTGACCGCAACGACAACGTCCGGAAGAAGCTAGAGGAGCAGGCTCTTGTCCAGTTGCGTCCAGACTGCCAATTAGATGATCCAGGAGCTGACCTTTCCGAAGAAGATTTCAATCTGAAAATATACTTTTTGCACATATCTTGATCAATTTTCACCATATTCGCTTCATATTACTGTAGTAGGCTTAAAACAACGGCTATCATATTTCTGACCTATATAAGTCATCGACATCACGATCTTGAATAAGAATGAAGCGAGACTGTGAAAAACCCTCGGGCCCAGGTTTGGTGAATGGACTATAGTATGCTCTTCGACTTTTTTGAGCCAGGCCACCCTGAGGAACCCCGGTATGCCGTATTGACTACCAATGTGTCAGCCCATACGCATGTATACGCCTGACCCTGGGCTGTCATCACCGCAGGCTTGCGTGCATGTGGACTGTGAGGGAACATGCACACACACACACGTACAATGTCAATACCTTGTTTGTGTGTACGGTGTGCTCTTTCTGCGCCTGTATTTACTAGTTGCTGCCGGCCATGCTGAAAATCATTGACATGGAAAAAGTGAGACAGAAGCGTGCATCCCACGACGAGGTGAGAAATTTGAGAATCTGTTTTAATTGCAGTACTGGCGGGTGCTGAAGAACTGGGAGGTCAGCAGCGTCGTAGCCTAGGCCATTCTTATGTTTATGTACTATGGTCCATGCAAAGTGGAGTCGCCGCGTATATAATGGTAAGCTGTGCTTGGTGAAATTTTGGCCTGTTTGTTCTTCGGCGCTACGCTCTTCGGTGCCCGACAGTTCTGTAAAAAGAAAATCTGTGATCGGGGATAATAAGTTAGAAGTAACTCTCTATGGGGGTAAGTTGTTCTATTAATGGGGAGGGGGTTAGCACAGCCAGTACGTTTTTATAGTGCTTTACTACCTCACTGGTCATTTTAACATGTACTCATCTCTGCCTAGTACCAATGAGTATCGACTGTTGCTGCTATCATAGGACAAACTACAGTTAACACACTCTCCACATACAGGCATGCACCCGGCTCAGAACACATTGTTTTCTGGTTGGCATATCAGGGATATTGGGCGGAGCAGCTGGCGTGCATGAGAAAGACAGGTCGGCCTGCTCTGCGCAGGAGCTGTGACCCGGTGCACACATAGTGTGTGTGAGAGAGAGAGAGAGACAGACAGGTCGGCCTGCTCTGCGCAGGAGCTGTGACCTGGAGCACACAGAGTGTGAACGAGAGACGGTCGGCCTGCCGTGGGCAGGAGCTGCGACCGGTAGTGATTGAAATGAGCCAGCTGCGGAGATAGACTGCCCTCACCCGATATAAGTATATTGACAAGAGTTGTACTGACACTGTGATTGAGGAAATTATGGTGACAGTGACGGAGAGATAGTGATCCCCAGTCGAATGGGGTTGGGAGGGAAGGGGAAATTGACAACTGACGGACAAACCAGTGAACAGTCAAGTCGTCGGAAAGCAAAAGTGACAAAGGAGTCTCTCTTTTCTCTTTCTCTCTCTCTAAAGCAAGATTTGGAAAGCACGCGTGGGAGAGTGGCGCGCGCTGCGCATGCGCATGTATAGCAATGACATCATAATCAGATGCATGATCATCAGACTAAGTATGAGTGGTAGATGTTCCACATTCGTTAACTGGTCTTAGCGCACACGCTAAACCACCATAAAACCTGTCAAGACGACCACTCGGATAAGGCAACCACTTGTCCTAGACGACCACTCGGAGAAGGCAACCACCTGTCCTAGACGACCACTCGGATAAGGCAACCACCTGTCCTAGAAGACCGCTGCAACCAGGACCTAGGGATGCTATTTCCAGTCAAATGACCCTGGATAAGGCGACCACCTGGTGACAGAGACCACGTTTTGAAAGCCCCTTGAGCGGTCGTCTTAGACAGGTCTCACTGTATGTTTCAAGAGTATCCAGACCCTGCCATTTGCCTTGCCGGATAAATGTGGGTGATTTGCAGAATTTGAACTGTATGTTTGAACTGTATGTTCTGCAGCCATTTCCTCATCAGCCCGGTGATTCTGTGCTACCAGTTTTGTCTGTATGCCCACAGTTGGCCCGTGTGTGTGTGTGTGTACGTGTGTTGTTGCTGCTGCTGCTGCTGCTGGATGTGTTCGGGAAATGATGTGTCTATACTCTGCAGGACTTCTACATACGTCTGGTGGTGGCCGGTATTCCTAATTGTGGCAAATCATCAGTGATCAACGCCTTACGGCGGATGCATGCTAAACGAGGTCAGACATGTGCCTTGTCAGACGTGTGCCTTGTCAGCTTGGCCAGTACAGAGCATTGAAATTCCCTGTACCTTTTACAAAATCCTGTAGAAAACTACATTGTTTTAGCTGCGGGATGTTCTTCACTGTGGCAGTTTAACTGCATACTACAAATACATTTGAGCATAGACTTGGTATGCTGTTTTGACAATTCTACAATGTAATGGCTGCAGCCAAGACCTTTGGCCTGCATGTTGCGCTTGTTAAGGCTCAATAAGGAGAAAGATTGGACTTGTGACCTTTCTAAGTATGTTTCAGGACGTGGGTTGTTCCCAGTTTAGTTGCATGCAGAACAGACGGCTCACAGATACAGTACAATGCACTGGTGATATGCTGGTGACATTGAGTTGCCTTGTGTATGTTTCATTTTCTTTTCTTTTGAATCAAGGTCGTTTGGTATAATGTGTGTGTGTGTGCGTGCGCGCGCGCGCGCGTGTGTGTGTGTGGTGTGTGCGTGTGTGTGTGTGCGTGTGTGTGTGCGTGTGTGTGTGGTACATGGGGCATGGTACATGGTGTGTTGGTGCACGTGCGCATATGTAAGCGTGTGCATGCGTATGTGTGTGACTGTGTGTGTGTGTGTGTCCCTGTATGTGTCCGCTTATGTGTGCGTCTAGGTGCTGGAACCCGTTCTGGGCGCATCCCTGGTATCACAAGAGCAGTCATGAATGAAATCATCGTAAGATACTGCTCATATTTTAAAAGTTCTATTCACTGCAGTTAGACTGTCACGCCTTTTGATCTACTCTCTTTACTGGTATCCGACAATTGGATGGTGTAGTAAGGCACTTTTGCACGAACACGGTTTCAGTGAAATGTTTGTTTTTTCAAAATCGTCGCGGTTTTGCCTATCGTTCACGTGGAGACAACAACTTTTCAAGACGGTACAGAAAACAAAAGTGCACTTCAAAGTGGTCTGTCGGTCATGCATGGTTTCGTATTATCCTGAATTCGTCCAGGTTAGTACACAGTCATGTACGTGTGGGTAAAACATTTCGACACGTTTTACGTACCATACAACTTACATGCCATTATTCGAGTCTGTACCATGGCCCTTCAGTGTGTGGGTCTGTGTGTGTGTGTGTGTGTGTGTGTGTGTGTGTGTGTGTGTGTGTGTGTGTGTGTGTGTGTGTGTGTGTGCGTGTGCATGTCTGTGTGTGCGTGCGCGTGTGTGATTTCAGTACACTTTTATGCTCACACCTGTATCTTCTCATTGTTGTTATTTGCCCCTGTGCTCTCCAGGTGAATAGGAGTCCCCAAGTGATGCTTGTTGACACACCAGGTAAAGATGTCTGTGTTCAGCGTTCACTGTTGCCTTAGGATTTTGTTACGTGTCCAGCGAATACACATGTGGAATGTGTGTGTGTGTGTGTATGTGTGTGTATGTGTGTGTGTGTGTGTGTGTGTGTGTGTGTGTGTGTGTGTGTGTGTGTGTGTGTGTGTGTGTGTGTGTCTGTATCGCTGAAATTATGCCACTTCCGGAGAAGATCGTTCGCTCTGTAGTTTGTCTGCGTTGGTTGTGTGTCACGTCCCACACCAGCTCTATCTAGGAAGGTGCCGTGCGTGCTTTTCTCCGTGTGTCACTGACTGGTGGCATGCTGTGTGACTGTTTTCACAATAGGTATCATGGATCCTTCAATTCCGAATTCTGAAGTTGGCTTACAATTGGCTCTAGTTGGTAAGTCCTACTGACACTGATGTTACCGTATGTCCGCACCTTTAGAGCCATGGCGGTACAATACTAACAAGCTTACAGCCCAGCAGGAAGGGTGAACAAGTGGATTTAGATTGAAATTTCTGTGCGGACTTTGACTTTTATGGCATTGCGCAGTGGGTGGGTCATTTTGCATCTAAAATAGCTAGGGAAGTACTGTAAAACATGTAATTTTAGGTGTGTTAAAATTTCGGTATCGGGGACCTGCCAGGTTTCAGGTGTGATGTAGAATTAGGTGACCAGCTTTCCCTTCACATACTGTGCATACTCCAGTGTCTTTTAGGTGTAAATTAAATTTAGGTGCTGGTTTTCACTACCGAAATCACTGAAATTAAAGTTACACCGAAAATATCGTGTTTTGCAGAAGCGGTATTTGAAATATAAGACCATGGCTTTAAAGGCGCTGACATACAGTATGTACAATGTGGGTTGAGCTGAAGTCCATAGCCCTTGCAAGTGGGGCCTCACACATGCGCCACAGTCATATGACGTGTTTGTTTTAGTGATGAAATGGGTACCTTGTAAGCTATCGGGCGGGCCCCACTACCATCGAGTCAGGTTCCGGGTACCCTGGCGTACAGCGGCTGAATGCAGCCAAATCCATGCACCTGTGTGCCGCAATCCCACCGCATTTACTGTGGCTAGAACAACACATTACTAGTACACACACGACATCCGCTGCAGTGCACTGACTGAGTGACACTGGCTGGTATGTTTGAATGAAATACTAAGCAAAGGACAAGAGCTTCCTGAGTATACTTCGAAGTACTACAACTAGCAGAAGTAGAACGAAACTCGAAAGGGGTAGCGGTCGTGTTCCCTTGGTTCAGGGAGCCTTACGCATACCATAGATGTACTGATTGATCGTGTTTCTTGTCTGAACTGCTCACACATTTCCTGTTTAATGTTGGAGTGCGTAATTTGTTTCACTTCCAGGTGGAGTATCCGACTGCTAGGAAGCGGGCTCTCAGGTACCCAAGCTACTTGTTTCACCACTAATAATTTGTGTCTCCCATGCTCTACCCACGCAGGGACGATTGCTTCCAACAGAGTGGATCAGAGACTACTTTGTGATTATCTCTTGTATCGACTCAACAAGCACAAGTGTTTTCAGTGAGTTGAGAAGTTTATGTATTTTTAGTTCACGTTGGCTTTGTTGCTGTTGTCATCACTCATCACCATTGTGTATCATTGCTGCTGCTACTTGTTTGAAATCTAGCTTTGTTGACTGCGCTTGCAGTAGCGGTGCTATTTGACTCGGAGCTCTCTCTCTCTCTCTCTCTCTCTCTCTCTCTCTCTCTCTCTCTCTCTCTCTCTCTCTCTCTCTCTTCTCCTCATTCGCTGTATTCATTATTTAGGTATGCCCAATTTTTGGGGATGGATGGACCATGCGATGACATTGAAACTGTTATGGTTGCGATTTGCAAGCGCCTTGGTCACTTCATGCCAGGTAGGTCTGGTAATAAGATCACAGAGTGCTGTAAACTGCCTAATAGTCGCGACGGATTAATGTTCCCTATTTTCGCGAGATTAGCGTAACGCGAATATTAACCAGCGCGAAATCAAGCTTCAACAGTGGGTGTATGTAGGTGGCCCCGGTGCTTCGCGAACTTTTGCCATCGTGAACTTGCTGGTTCTAAGAAATCGCGAAATGTAGTGACGCGAATATTGGGCGGTTTAGGGCCGGGTTCCACTGCGGCTCCGCTGCACTTGGCTGCATGCAGCGGAGCAGCGCGGTTCCACTGACACTCGCCACTCGCGGTACCGCGGTTGTGCTCCACTTTTTTGATGACGTTTTACCTGCCTACCCGCGCGAAATCAAAAAGATCCTCGTCATCTGGCCTGCGCAACGCATTAAAATTTGAATTTTAGAATTCTCGCGTACAAAGCAATGAAAAATACGGGAAGCAGGTCGAGCCGCGATCGCGGCTCGCAGTTTTTGATCAAGAATCATAGCGAAAGCTCGCGGTGAGCCACAGCCTCGCTGCTCCAACTCGAGCCGCGGTCACTATGGTAATGATGACATTTCAAGCCGCGGATGACGAGCAGTGGAGCCGTAGTGGAACCCGGCCCTTACAGTAGTTTTGCTGCTGCATCAGAACAGTACATGACTTCAAATACAATGATTGTATTTCTGGTCTCGATCTCTTCTTGGGGTGTTGAACAGTGCATTCCTGATCCCAGTGTACTCACATGCATTACTCATACCTTCCATATTTGGCAATGCGCAATGGGCTTATTTGAACGTGTGTACCTCTGCCGAAAGGGGAAGAGTGAACCCTACTAGTTTGGCAAAGCGAAAATGTCACTGGAAGCGCCACTTCCACTCTTATAGAAGGACGTACAGAGATGAAACTTTCCGAAGCTGTAGTCTTCAGGTTTCTGAATGAAATAGTATTGATCTAAGAAGGCTGCACCAGTGCACCAGCGAGTTTGGGCACGATGGCACTAACCCTTTATCTATCTACATTGTATCTAGAATTCCTTGTTGAGGTATTCCTGGTTTGTTCGCCTCCAACGCAACAGCTGAAATTAGTTACTGTGGCATTCCTATTGAGGTAAAGTTTTACAACACAGGCTGAGAACAGCAAAACCAACAAAACAAAGCCAAGCGAGTAGAAGTGGCAGCAACTACTGACTCCCACCCGTACTGTAGCTTGAGCGTATTCAGCCAGCTACTGTAGCTTGAGCGTATTCAGCCAGCTACTGTAGCTTGAGCGTATTCAGCCAGCTACTGTAGCTTGAGCGTATTCAGCCAGCTACTGTAGCTTGAGCGTATTCAGCCAGCTACTGTAGCTTGAGCGTATTCAGCCAGCTACTGTAGCTTGAGCGTATTCAGCCAGCTACTGTAGCTTGAGCGTATTCAGCCAGCTACTGTAGCTTGAGCGTATTCAGCCAGCTACTGTAGCTTGAGCGTATTCAGCCAGCTCAATGAAAAGCATGACACATTATACATGCATGTGTCTTGTTGTATTGTGCCAACCGTAGTGGACATGAGCAATATGGACAGTGCCACAGTGTACAGCGAACGACTACAGTGCGTTTCAAAAATATAGACGCATGATTTCAAGAAAACCGTTAGGCCAGCATCTATACAGTCAACTTCGCTTATAACGACACTCGGCGGGGCATCGAAAAGGTGTCCTTATTCGCGAAGTGTCGTTATACCCGAAGTCTCATTATATGTATTACAGTGGGATGGGACTTTGCTCTGGGCATGGGAATTCTGTCATTATTCGCGAATTGTCGTTATATCCGCAGTCGTTATTAGCGAAGTTGACTGTACCACATGAAATCTGTGATCACTTTGTGCATAAAAATTACGAAATTGGGCGTTTGCTATTCGATCGCTTAAAAATCTATATGAGAGTAATTGCGGGAAGGACCTGAGCAATATTCAAAAAAAATTCTCAAAAAGCTCCAGCCAAATTTGAAATATTTCAAAAATACCATGCGTCTATATTTTTGAAATGGACTGTAGTAACAGTTCCTTGTACTGACATTGCATTGTGCATGCAATGCTAGTGCCTTCCAGGATCTAGCATTGCATTGTGCATGCAATGCTAGTGCCTTCCAGGATCGGACAATGCCAGAACATGTACCGTAAATACCGCGAGAGCGCCCCATTAACTCGTCCTTTCGTGGTCGAGCTGTGGTGGTGGTGTCCCCTGTCTGTAGGTCCTATAGCACATACATTGTACACACATTGCACGCTTTGAAGTCAGTCCGTACGCAGTTTACCTTGGAATTCCGCACAAGAACATGCTAAGAGTGACCTTAGTACACAAAGGTTCTCACATCGTACAAATTCAGTTGCACTCTGCCATACGATTTTCCTTTCCCTGGCTGTAAAATCAAACATTAGGCAGTTTACAGTAAATGTTCAGTCAAACTGCCCATCTAGTATTGTAGAACTGTAGAGTTCACTGACTCCTTCCTAATTTCAGCAAAGGTGCATGAATTCGATTTGGAATCTAGGACTGACGGAGTACTGCAGCTTTCTCGTTTGGACCTGCAACTCTAGACGGCCCGTGGATCACTTGAAAGTTGAAACGGTGTATTTTGAGCAGATACTTGCTGGACAATCCTGCTCGGTGAATTCAGGACTGATGGATATTAGTACAGGTGTACGTGGTTACTGTGCCATGCTGCATATGTTCACTGCTGTGGCATGATGGAGGCCCACAACCCCCGGGTGGTTTTGCCCCGGACGTTATCTCACTGAACAGCAACACTCTTTGCCTATACGTGTATGTTCCATCTGTGTGTGTGCCCACAGGGAGACGCCTTGACTACCACCGCGCTCAACATTGGTTCCTGGATCGATATCGGAAGAACATGCTGGGCCGATTCATCTACGACCTGGAGCCCGAGTTGGTTGAGGAGTACGTGCAAAAGAAGAAGCTAGAGCGCTTGGAAGCAGCGCGACTGCGCGATCATCGCTACATGGCAGATGAGGAGTGGTGGAAGGGTACAGGTTTAGCAGCCAAACTGGATCCCATATCTCAGGTGAGCTACCAACTGGACGGCTCAGTTTCTTTCGGAGCCAACAGTGCAAGCGCACCCGCGCAGGAGACCAATGTTGATGCTGCGTGCGGCAGCGCCAGCATGGCTGGTGACCAATGTGATGAGTTAGGTGACAAAGCAGATCATGACACCGGTAACGATAACCAATGTGATGATGGCCTTCCGGCTAAAGGCGAATCTGACGTTTCTTGTGGGGCTGCTGCTGCTGCTGCAGCAGAGGGAGCGCCCTTCTCGTCCACCAAGCCCTCTCCTGTCGAAACTTGTCTATAGTTATCGTGCTCCATGCACATATTCCTGTGCAACCGTTGAGCTAGCTGTGACTATTATTTTGTGCTTGCATTCTGCTTTTCTATCCGCTGTAAATATTGGTACGCTACTCTGCTACTCTGCTTCTCTTGGAAGTTCCTTCGCCTTTCCGCTCTGCTGTATATAAGATTGCTGTGTACATTCTTGCACTGAATCCCTGTTCATTCCAGTAGTAGTACTGAAATAGTAGTATTTATGAGTTGACTTTTAACCCTGCACACATGCACGGTGCCTGCTTTAACTCATTACGTAACCTCTGTCCAGTATGACTTGTAAAAAGAAAGAAAGAAAAGAAATGAAGAAAGGGTATACCTCGTCTAACCTTTGCCGTGATTGCACGGTTGCACAGTGTACTGCAGATCGCAGCCTTCATCAGTCTATTTCCTGTCCCAGCTGTAGAACCAGCTTGGATGACCGAGAAGCAACGCAGTGTGTGGATGTGACAATGTGCAAGGGAGAGGGGGGGGGGGGGGTATATACTCTTGATGATACTTGACTATAATCAGGTCAGTGATGGTACTGCTGCTATGGCTCTGTGCTGCACATGTGTTGCACACACAACTGCAGTGCCACCGGTATCTTGCCATTCTTGGTGGCCAAAGACTGAAGACTTTTTTTCAATTTTGTTACCGGTAATAGTATGTGCATTAGCCTTGCGAATTGTAATTTGTGCATACAAATAATTAATTTGTCAGAATTACAAGCCAGAATTACACGTGTAATTCTGGTTTGTCGATAAAGGGCGGGCAAGCAAGAACCGCAACATCAAAACAACTCTACTGTCCTAATGAGTCTGAAAGAGCGGAGAGTAAACTCTGCATGCAGTCTTTCGAGTTTGTCTGCTCAAGCCAAGTCAAGGCATAATTATGACACCAAGAGTAGATCTACAACTAACTAATACTAGTAATAGTAATACCAAGAGTACATGGGGTTATGTACTCTTGCTAATACTTACCGTATACATGACTGTACTCTTGTTCTTGATGACACGTAGGTCTACATCGTCATTAGGGAGGTTTAGTCCCACGTAATCCGTGGGTACTTTACGTGTGTGTACCACGTGATACTCAGTGACCCACGTACAGACGTTTTCTGATTCACGACATACCGTGTATGGAGGCTCACCCACGTTCCGCCAGAACGTGGGTGAAAATCAGAATGGAGCGCATTGTGCGACCTGTGAGGGTGCTCAGCTGAAGAAGTTTCCGAAGCACGAAATCAAAATATTGGATGAGCTTCTTAGGCCCGGGTAGCTTCGTCTTTGACCAGGTTTGGGCCTTTCGCTTCATGCTTTTGTTTGTTCCGTGTGACTAAACACAACATTGCAACGTGGGTGCCATTCATCCACTTTACGTGGATCACCCACGTACGCGTTTCCGTTACCATGGTTACGTGGGAACTAAACCTCCCTAATGTACCAAGAGGAGATTTATGTACACAGTGTACTCTTGATTGTACTGCTAGCATGCTGCTATGCAGTATGCGCATCACAATGCATGCGTGTCTACAGCCATGCCAGTACAGCAGTACTGCACTGCAGATACTGGCAGGTCCGGCCGTGATGTCACACATTCATGTATGATCCATGATGACGAATGGTGACGTAATCTATTATTTTCAAACGTCCAGAAACCTGATGAAGAAGAATGATGATGAACAATCATGCTGTGTTGGAAGTAAAGTTTCGGCCTCTTTGTCGACGCGACGTTGTCCATGATGACCGACTAGTTCCAGCACATTCGCCATGATCCAGTCAAGGAATTTGCAGAATAAATTACCTGGTACAACTTTGAGAACCCAGTAATCAGTCAGGAGTGCGCACATGGGACGAAGAAGGTTTTGGCTATCCGAGCAGAATGGCGACGCAGCCCCAACCAGACCAATCCTTGAAAGGGCTTGTCAATAATCCCGGTGAAAACAACTGCTTTCTTAACTCAACAGTCCAGGTGAGCCATCTTGGTTGTTTTATGGCAGCTAACCTATGCTCTTTAGTGGTGTGAGATGTTCCCAGTGCACACACAGGGTGGCCACTCTGTGTTTATTTGTTCAGTTTTTTTTTGGTACACGATCTCCATTGATTGAATGTTTCCTGACACCCCATATCTACAAAGCTTGTAATTGTATGCAGTTATATGCATGTGTGTGATTATGCTTTTCTGATAGTATGTTTCCATCCTGGTTCCTCATCTTTTTGAACGAGACTGTAGCTGCAGCTTTCGTTGGAGACGTTAGAACATCGTTTCAGGATATTGCTAAGACGGCTGCATCGGCCACCTGACTCAGCCAGGAGTTGACGATGACAGAATTTGGCGCATGGAAAGCTAAGGCAAAGAGTCCGTATGGACGCGCCTTTGGCACGCACTTGAGCCTGTTCAGATGATGTCAAACTTCACGAGGACCTGCACATTTTCGAGTGGAAGGACATCATCATTAGTGGACCTGTGTACCAGTGTACTGTACGTGTTCTGTTGGGGACTCCAGACCGCGCGGCCGGGCAGCATACTTGCGTACATATCTTGACCTATAATTGTAGCACCTGTACTATGCCAGACTCCGGAATGCGGAGTGCAGTTGACTTCTCACTTCAGCCAGTTCGACTTGTGCCTGTCATCATTACGTCAGATTGGTTCACTGCACGTGATTATTATCGCCTGGCCCTAAACAGTGGCGTATGATTAAAAAAATACTGGTACCAGACACTTCTTGTTGGTTGACAGCATGTTACAAGGTGGAGGACCACTGTGTTCGGAAACAGTGACCTTACTACAGCCATCCACGGTTGGCAGAGCCCCGGTCTTGTGGATGGTTGCAGTAAGGTCACTGTTTCCGAACACAGTGGTCCTCCGCCTTGTATTATTAAACATGCTGTCAATCAACAACATGTTTTCAACAAAACAAGGTTTTATACTTCTTCTACAGCGTGTATGCAGATGCGGTCGGATGATATGCCCGGACATACCATTTTGCTGCACAACATGTCCTAAATACTAATAAATACGGCTGTATGCCACACAGCTTGGTGAATTATTCAGCGTGTGTGCCGCTCATTAGTAACCGTGCATATGTACATCGGTCGGAAAGGCATGGTAAACAGGAAACGTTCATATCATTACCATTCTTGACAGCGCCTGAGTGATTGACGCATATCGAAGTGGATCTCCACCAGCCTTCTCCGTTCTAAAGAAAGCCATGGCCCGCCAGTGCATGTCAGACGCAGTATAGTCTTTAGAAGCCGACGTTTTCAATTTCTTGACCCAGCGATGAACTCCCAAGATTTTTTCGCCAAACAATAATTTTCTCAGCGAACCGCACACAAACCTTGCATTTTGGGCACTCCACCGCTGCGCAATTATCTCTGCATCTCTCATACTCTAACCAAACTAAGCAAACGAATGTTGAAAGGTCCTTATCACACTCAGCTATCCTGGACTGATAAAGGGTATGTAGTAGTACCATCTGCAATGTGTCAGGTCTTGTAGAACATAGTAGTCTTGTTTGATTTGCGGTGTTTGTGCTCAGGTCCTTTGGCATCTGCCATTGTTTCGCAGCAGTCTTGCTAGCCTATACGGCCATTACTGCAACTCGGCGAAATGTGTGTTTTGTGCGCTAAAGGTGAGCCCAGGGGCACTATTGTAGTATGCGTGCAAACTAATCACAGATAGTCACACAGGTGCCTACTTTGAAGTACTAGTACAAGTTGTTTAGTAGCTACATCAAAATGTGCATGCTTCATTAATCCATGTACATGTAAATCGACAGCAGTTCACTGAGCTCAGTAAATTGAGGTCGAACCTCAACATGGCCGCACACTAATACTGGTCTTGACCGACTGGTTTAGGTAACAGGATTAGCAGGCACGTTAGAGGTACATGGCTGTAGGCTTATAGTGAATCTGATGTGTGCGGCGCTGTTTTCGGTGCTGTGTGCAGAGCCGTTTCCAGCAAGTGCACGTCAAGAACGGTGTTATTTGTTTCTTTATTCCCGAAGCTGTGCAAAAGACGTTATTTCATTTCAAATTCTGCAGCATGAAATCATCCATCAAAGGGGGGGGGGGGGGGGGGGGATCCAATGCATGGTAGCAATGTACAGTGTTCTGTGCATAGTGGATTTATGCATAGTAGATTTTATGCTATCTTCTCAATTCAGACGCTGTTCATCCGACTCGAAAAGGTCGATCGGCCAGCAATTCCTCCGGATGTTCTTCGCCGGGCTATGGCAGATGCTTTCGATGTAAGTCTGGCTGCTGTTGGGTAGCATGGTGCCTATCTTTAGTAGTGCTGGTGTGTAGTGTGCCAGTGACAGTGTGTTTGTAATCATCAATGGCTCGTACTGCAAGCCATTATGGTTTCATCTGGTGTCCATCTTTTTTGGCTTTACCGTGCTGTGTCCGAGTGTCAGTTGCGTGAAAGACTGTTCTCTCTCTCTCACTCACTCACTCTCTCTCTCTCTCTCACACACACACACACTCTTTCTCTCTCTCTCTCTCTCTCACTCTTTCTCTCTCTCTCTCTCTCTCTCTCTCTCTCTCTCTCTCTCTCTCTCTCTCTCTCTCTCTCTCTCTCTCTCTCTCTCTCTCTCTCGCTCGCTCTCGCTCTCTGGCTCTCTCTCTCACTCTCTTTCTCTCTCTTTCTCTCTCTCTCTCTCTCTCTCTCTCTCTCACTCTCTCTCTCTCTCTCTCTCTCTCTCTCTCTCCTTTGCAGGCGGATGATCGGTTTCAGTTGGGAGTAATGGACGATGCAGCTGAGTGCTATGTATGTTCTTGTTCTTGTTTTTGTTCTTGTTGCTGCTGTTGCTGTTGTTGTATGTTGTTAGGCCATGCCTAGCTTTTGGTTTCTCCTCCGTGCATGGTTGATGGTACAGCATGCATCCCGGTCTCGTATGGCCGCATTGGGCGGGACTATCTAGTATCTATGCATAAAAGGCATAGCTGGTCAACTGTACAATGGCCAGTTGGAAAACCTATTTCTGGCCTTGATCCGGCTATTTATTGTGCCCTACTTCTATCTTATCTTGTCAGACTTGGAGTCAAACAGTCACACATTCAAGTACAGTCTGTATCGGCTATAGCGTACCCTTTTGATTTCCGTGATTTTATCACTATAACCGATGCATCACTATATGCGATATGATCGATTTTTTTCGAGCGACACATGAAAGGCAAGGGAATACTTCCAGCATGGCGTTTTGACAAATGAGCATGCTGCATAGTTGACAGTGCCCGCATTTCCATAAAAAATTCTGTTATGTACATGTACATGTGTCACTATCAAAATAAGCAACGTGAAGAAAGTAAAAAAAATAGGGCCTTTGATATTATTGCAACATGTATTTTAAAGTTATCACTATAGTCGATTATAATGTAGTGTGTTATGCATGTTTTGATTCTATGTTGCCATCATAATATCCGATATATCATTACATCCGATAATATTGGTTATAGTGATATTTGTACAGGATAAAATACGTTTTGCTTTTGATATTTCGTACCAATATCACTGTAGCCGATATATTCTTATATCCGGTCACTCTATAGCCGATACAGACTGTAATGTGGTTTGCGAGAATAAGGAACGGGGTGCAGAAGGAAGTCGGGGGGGGGGGGGGAATGCTAATTAATGCTGTCCGTTGTAATCCCATTCTGTTGTGTGTTCTCTTCTGTGTTACCTAGGAACATCTACTAACACGTCTTCATTATCACTTGGCACCTGACCAAGAGGAGAATGCGTGTAATCAATCTCACTGCATCACACACTCAAAGTGCTGCATGAGCATATTTGAACAGGTGAGTGTAGGTCACGGGTGGACGCACCTTCACTCATCCACTGCATTGTCTTGTCACAAACTCAAGCTTGGTACAACCGCCCATCCAGCTTAATATTATGGTATTTGGCTATTTGCCAACAAGGAACAAAGCGATATTTCGCTTTTTTTGCCGACCGTATGTTTGGTAATAGAAGTATCAAGTATTGTCTCTGTCTCTCTTTCTCTCTCTCTCTGCGAACACGCACGCACATACACATGAACACACACGCACACACACATACACCTCCCACTCGCATGTCTTTTCAATATCGATGTCCTGAAGTAGTGGAGTGACTGACATACTACAGCTGTGTATATACAGCATTTGATATTGTGTGTGTGTGTGTGTGTGTGTGTGCGTGCGTGCGTGTGTGTGTGTGTGTGTGTGTGTGTGTGTGTTTGTTTGATTAATTGCGGCTTGTAGAGATGCTGCGGGTGCGGCGAACAATCTGAATTGATGGGCTTCACGCAGATCGTACAATATATCTCTGCCCCATCTGTAATGTAAGTTCCAAGGCTGCCCTGCTGTACTCTGCACTCTTCAGTTTCAGTATGGGAAGAAGAAGACAACTGCATGCACTCTCAGTGCTGTTTGTGTGGATTTGTGCGGGCGGGCTTCTGGGCCGGCAGGTGGGTCTGTGTGTGTGTTGGGGGGGGGGGGGGGTGTTGTGTGTGCGTGTGTACCTAGCACCTCCTACAAGCAATTTTGTCAAGTGATATCCCAGTCACTGTACACATCGAGCCATGCAAAGCGATTGTAATGACCTTGTGAATGTATGCGAGGCCGTCCGTCCATGCATCTCTGCAATGGACATTGATCCAGATTTAACTTGCTGAAACTGTACTTTGAGCATGCATGCATGCATTGCACAAACTAAACATGCTTTAGGACCACACGGTTTTCTTGCCTTTTTCTTTGCTGCTCTGGCTTGCAGGAAAGTCGCTCTGGAGAATACAGCGAGTCGCTTGTCATTCGGCAGAACTGTTCGATCGGCCATGGAAGCCTACGGGAAGCAGCCATGTTCATCAGTAAGAGCTGGAGTAGGCAAATCAGAGGGTTTTCAAGTTCTACTTGTGCAAAGTCTTTGTAGCCTGGCAGTAGTGTTTTGCAGTGCATGTGTTGCTTCTGTTGCTTCCATGTGAAGTCCCTGTCAGACTGCACCTTACTCTGAAATTTGAGTACCTACTTTACTTGGCATTCTTCTGCAAACAAAATAGGATTTATAGTAAAGAAAAAAGGACCAAGAAACTACAAGTTTCGCTATAATGTCCACTAACACCAGCAGTTACTAATAAACAATCAGCTCATGCGATAACGAATTTACCCTTGGCTCTCCATCCGAGTCTATTCTTGCACACCTGATGAGCCGCCCGTAAAATACGATTTGGTAGTGAAAGAATCATGCATGCCTTTGTAAGACCGAGCACGGAAGATTCCACCTCAACACAAGAGATGACATGTTACACCTCCTTCTTTTTTCTTTTTCTGTCTCTGTCTCTATTGAACACAGCGCTGTGGTGGAATGTCAACAACTCGTCAGTACCTCATGAACTCACCATCACTATGTACGGAATACTGAATTTGTGAAGCGTCTACTCTACTTTTAGTTTGTGCATTGGGTAAATGTACAGAAGCTATGGGTGTGCAGTGAAGTGTTTGGACGCCTTCCCTTGCCTGTCCTGTGCAATCACCGCCTTCCATACCGATATGGTGCACTGCGTCTTATTCAGCATGAATGTACTGCTGGTTGTCGTGCTCGGTCAAGCTGTTCCCGTGCACCTGGTTGGCAGACTACAACACACAGTGCTATGTTGTGTTAGCCAATATTGGAGCTCAGTAAACCGGGCATTAGACTACTTCGCTGATCAGGGTCTAAGTGCAGCCAAGTTCGTACACATGCACACTTAAAACTTTGCAGCTGGCGCTCAGTTACACCGCTGGTTTACTCTGCTTATCCACCAACGTTCATCATACACGTGCTTGTTTTGCGTGTGTTTGGTTGATTGCAGTGTGCCTTGGAGTGATCTGGAACTCGGATAAGCCCAGTGTCGCGGAGATCATGTCGTTCGTATCTGCATTGGATTCCACCATCACTCTGAACCATGTATGGACACGCGTGTAGCTGTGTGTGTGTGTGTGTGTGTGTGTGTGTGTGTGTGTGTGTGTGTGTGTGTGTGTGTGTGTGTGTGTGTGTGTGTGTGTGTGTGTGTGTGTGTGTGGTGTGTGTGTGTGTGCGTGCGTGCGTGTGTGTGTGTGTGTGTATGTGTGGGTGGGTGGGTGTATGCGTGTGTGTGCGTGTGTGTGCGTGTGTGTGTGTATATGTGTGTGTCTTTCTTTTCTTTTCTTTTTTTCTGCCAGTGCATTGGGTACTGCATGACAGCTCTAGCCTGCAACGGGCCGGCTGAGATTGTTTTCGTTGGTCGAGATTATTTGCAAGGGACATCCATGCTGTTGACTTACCTGTGCATTGCATCTGCCTGATCGGCTTCAAGAGTACAGTCCATCAGCGCTGCAGTTTGATTGCTGCCACTAGGCCAGGGCTGGACTTGACTTGAAAATTGAACTGAATAATCCTTTGCAGTAGTACGTGTGGTCCTAGTCTTCGGGACTATGTACAAACCAGGTATTGGAATCTTGTAATACTAGATTGTTGCCGTCTAAATGATGTCTGTTCACCTCTCAAGTGCATGTGTTACTTCCTGGTTGTATGTGTGTGTGTGTGTGGTGGTGGTGGTGGTGTGCGTGCGTGCGTGCGTGCGTGTGTGTGTGTGTGTGTGTGTGTGTGTGTGTGTGTACACTGGAATGCTGCATGTTGCTTTGTGCTTTGTGCTCAGATCTTCTACAACGTGGCAGATGAAGCGGCTGGCCGCAAGAAGATGAACTTGGTTGGCATGGTGATGTACTATGGCAAGCACTACAGCTCCTTGTTCTTGTCAAACTCGACCAAGAAATGGACTTTCTTTGACGACTCGCATGTCAGAGTGGTGAGTTCTACTCTAGTATTGCTTGCAGCAGTGCAGCAGTACAGCAGTACAGTTGGTGACTTGGTACATGTCAGCCTTGATTGATAGTTTCCGTAGTTCCGCCTTGTAACATGCTGCCGACCATCCAATTGGCAACTTGGCATAAGCTGGCTGACCAAGTAGTAACAGAATCAACCATTTTTGCCGTACAATTTTTTACGGTTTGAAACTACTCCCAGCCCAAGGCATCCTGTTGAAGAGATATTGAGCATTTTGAAGTCCCCCCCCTTTTTTTTAAGTGACTTGGAAATACTAATATTAACTCTGGTTCTCCTGCATATCCCTGATCTCTATGACTGTGTGCTGTGTTCTTACACACTGCAGCTGGGCAGTGATTTGGCATGTGTCAAAGACCTGTGCAGACGTGCTCACTATCAGCCACTGTTGTTAGTGTATGCCGATCCCAACGCA